GCCTCTGAGCATGCTGGGTGGAGAGGCATGATGAAAGTGGAGACCTCTTTGGTGTGCACTAAGTAGGTTTATAAGCAATGTTCAGAGAATCTTCCACTCAAAGTAAAAAAAATTCTCACCTTTTTCTCATTTCTCAAGGTGGTTTCTGATTCAGTCTTAAGAGCCAGACACTCTTCTTGGTTTGGGTTTTGTACTGTCTTATGTGTTGATCAATCAGGTGAGGCCTCAAGGGTAGACTTAGTGCTCAGGAACACAAAATCTGTTATACTTTTAGGTCCTAGAGACAGCAGGCACAGCAGGCCACACAGGGCCACATGGGGAAGACACCAGGGTGGCCAGGAGGCTGAAGACAGGAGCATGCCTTTGATATACAAACTAACCAGCACGGAGCTGCATTTCTCTCTCTCCCTATGCTCCGGAAGACCATATTCCTCTCCTTAATCATCCCAGGGCCAGGTACAAGACAACTAGAAACCGTGTCTAGAGTCAAAGCCCACTGGAATGATTCAAACTGGCTAGTCCTAAGCTGTTCACCCTGCCTTGCCTTTCCCATGGAAACCCAGTAAAGGCCATGGCCTAGGTGTCCCCCTCGCCTGTCTTCTGCCTCCTGACCACCCTGATGTCTTTCCCATGTGGAGTGGCATGGCATGCCTGCTGTCTCTAGAACCTGTATGTATCATAAACTTTATTTTCATGAGTCTGTCCTGGGTCTCTTCTTGTGGTCACACCTGACTGACCACATCATAAAAGAATACAAAACAGCTTGCCAGGTCCTTAGGCAGGCATGATTGAGTGAGAAGGATATAGTCCTGGGCCTCAGTGACTTTATTTACTTGTGGCCTTAGACAAATTATTGAACTTCTCTTGGTCTCAACTTCCTCATCTATAAAAATGACCCTTGCAGTGTACAAGTCAGAATAAACTAGACTATGCTGCTGTAATAGATAAACCCCGAATCTTAGCCACCTGTAGCAGTAAAGGTTTCCTTCTTGCTCTCAGTGCATACGCAATGTGGGTCAGCTGGCCACTCTGCTTCCTGTTCCCTGACTTAGCACGCAGGCTGATGGCACGCCCACTGTCTCTGATCACATTAGGATCTCAGTGGCAGATGGAAGGAGTGCTCGGGTGGGTCCTCCACCTGCAATTAAATGCACCAGCATGGAATTGGCAATGCATGCCTCTCCTCACAGCTCCATGGTTGGAAATCACATGGCCCTGCTTCACCACAAAGGAGCCCTCCATGACTACCACAAATGCCTACTCCACGGGTATAGGGTGAGGGTTACATGTGCTACAACACAAAGAGCCTGGCACAGGGCTTGAAGGCTGGTAGGTTCTGACAAAGCTCTTCTAGGAAGAACAGCCTCCACCCACAGCTGTGGTCAAGACTCCTAGGTTTGCACTGGTAAGTACTTTAGAAAAAACATACTGTCTACAGTAACACAGACTTTTTTTTTTTTTTTTAGACAGAGTTTTGCTCTTGTTGCCCTGGCTGGAATGCAAGGGTGCAATCTCAGCTCATTGCAACCTCTGCTTCCCGGGTTCAAGTGATTCTCCTGCCTCAGCCTCCCAAGTAGCTAGAATTACAGGTTCCCACCACCACGTCTGGCTAATTTTTGTATTTTTAGTAGAGATGGGGTTTCACCATGTTGGCCAGGCTGGTCTCGATCTCCTGACCTCAGGTGATCCATTCACCTTGGCCTCCCAAAGTGCTGGAATTACAGGCGTGAACCACCATGCCCTGCTGGAGCTTTTCACTTTAAAATTATTTCAAAATGATAAAAGGAAATCTGAAAAGTCCAGTGAAGGAAAACCACTTGGGAAACAGAAATCCCAAAGATCAGGATTGATAAATGTCTCTATCTTCGAGTTACAGACTAAGAGGACTCTCAAGGACAAAATCTGGGGAAAGATGATTGATAATCTCTTGTGTAAGAAGGTTTTCGGGCCGGGTGCGGTGGCTCAAGCCTGTAATCCCAGCACTTTGGGAGGCTGAGACGGGCGGATCACGAGGTCAGGAGATCGAGACCATTCTGGCTAACACGGTGAAACCCCGTCTCTTCTAAAAAATAATAATAATAATACAAAAAAACTAGCCGAGCGAGGTGGCGGGCACCTGTAGTCCCAGCTACTCGGGAGGCTGAGGCAGGAGAATGGCATAAACCGGGAGGCGGAGCTTGCAGTGAGCGGAGATCCGGCCACTGCACTCCAGCCTGGGCGACAGAGCGAGACTCCGTCTCAAAAAAAAAAAAAAAAAAAAAAAGAAGATTTTCAGTTGCAAGAAACAGGCAGAGCAACTTAAGCTGGCTTAAGCATGAATAGACTGATTGCCACAGGAACTCCAAGTCCCACTGCAGGACAGGGTTCAGCTGGTTGACTCAGTTATACCAACTGGGACCCCAGCTCTCGCCATTCCCCAGCTCTGGCATCCACAGTGTTGATTTTGTTTGGCTTCCTTTGAAAACAGATCCCTCTTAAGGTCATGGAAATGCTGTCAGAAGCTGTACAGTGGGGTAGATAAATAATTGCTTCTGGAAATTTTCCCTAAAGATGTGTGGGTATTTTTCTAAAAGTCCCTATGAAATATTTGTGTATTTCACTGGCTTAAATTTAACTATGACTTCTGTCCCTAGCAAGAAGGGTTGCCTTGAAGCCAATTGGGCCATGCTGACAGGAATAAAGAGGAAAGGATGCTGAATAGACAACATGTAGTCTACGTTACCCAGTGAGAGTAAGCAGGCCTGGTTTTAAGAACTGAGCCAGAGATGGGTTTGAAACCTGATGATCTTTAGCAGTTTCTTCTCAAAGACGTGGGATGACTTGAAAGCGCTTGTCAGTCAGGCAATGAGAAATCTAATGAACCACAGGGGAGACATGGTGTCCCTTCCTCTGCTCTTCTCCTTCACCCTCAACCCTGAGATGCATCCACTGACACTCACCTTGAAACTCCCTCCCTCTGCTACTCCCTTTGCGTGTTGATGCTTCATTGCGTGTCAGCTCTCTTTAGAGTGCATTCTACAGAACCTCATGTAGATAAAACCATGTCACAGCATTGCTTTGAGGCCTCAGTGACTGCTTCCCTTGCAATGGAATTCACCATGATTTCGCCTAAGTGGAAATATCCCTCTGGGATCCCTCATGTTCAGAGATATCACAAATTCAAAATGTACAAAGCCAAAATGATCACCAAATAGGATATTCCAACTCAGTCGATGACCCCATCACTCCTTCTTCTCTGGAATGAGTAATGGTCTCTAGAGTGGTCTCAATTCTTGTCTTTCCCATACCAATCCATCTTCCACCCCACAAACCAGACTAACTTTTCAGATTTGAGTTCTGATGATAACAAATACCTGCTGAAAAGCCAAGCCTTTTAGCTCACAGTGCGTGCCCACCTCTCAGTGGCTCTCCTCCTGCATCTCAGCTCCATACATGGTCTGTCTGCATGTTGGGGTCTTTGATGGCCTCCTCCCATGCCTAGCATGCTAAGCCCTTTCATGCTTCCACCTCTGCTTCCAGAGGAGCTCCTGCGACCCCATCCAAAGCCCTCTCCTCAGGCAGGATTCCCATTTCCTTTTGGGAAAAAAAAAAAATCCTTGTTTTTTTATACGTTTACTTCCATACCATCATTCCAGCATCCATCCCATTGATTGTAATACTATCTCATGTGTTTATGTTTTATCTCCTGCACAGGAAGCAAGTCCCCAGACGGCAATTCTCATCCACATCACTGCCGTCCGCTGGGCCTTGCCTACAGCCTGCTATACAGCATGTGCTCAGTGAATATGTGTCAAGCCAAGGGAGCAGAGACACCTAGAGCTGCTCCAACATTCTTCCTGTATGTTTTTCTCCATGATTATTTGACTCTGAAGTTGAAGCTTTTATTCTGTAGCAGGTATAAGTACTGAGGGATGGAATTGGTTTAGACTCTTATAATTTATTAAAAATTACTACAGGTGCCAAAGTGATAACGTTGACTATGTAGGTGGGCTAATCAGACACAGTGAGCCTCAGAGGCTGAGCACTCTCATTCTTGGTCAGTGAGTCTGTAACCTTCTATAGAACTTGACCTGCCAATATGTGGAGCCGCTATGGCATGGTTAAAGCACAGTTGGAAAACCCAGTTTTTAGTTAAATGTTTTTATTTTGAAATAACTGTATACTCATAATGCAGTTGGAAGAAATAACACAGATGATGCCCTGTCACCTTTACCTGGTTTTCCCCAACAGTAGCATCTTGTAAAACTAGAGTATAGTATCTCAATTAGGATATTGACATTGACATAATACATCCATCTTATTCAGATTTTCTTAATTGTATTTATACCTGTTCGTGTGTGTGTGAAAGAGAGAGTGTGTGTATGTGTTCTATACAATTTTATCCCATGGGTAGGTTCATATATCTGCTACCTGTCAGGATACAGAGTATTTCCATCACCAAGAGGACCCCTCCTGCTGCCCTTTTATAACCACACCTGCCTTCTCTCCTCCCCCACATCTCCTTAACTTCTTGTAACCACTAATCCATTCTCCATTTCTATAATTTTGTCATTTTAAGAATGTTCTATATATTGAATCATACTTGTACTACCTTTGGGGATTGGCATTTTCTCACTCCACATAACTCTCTGGAGTTTCATACAAGTTGTTGTGAGTGTCAAGAGTTATTTCTTTTGATATGGATTACCACATGTTACCTAGCCATTCACTTATTTGAAGAATATCTGGGTTCTTTCTCATTTGGGGCCATCACAAGTTAAGTTGCTATGAATATTTTCGTAAAGGTTTTTGTATAAACACAAATCTTAATTTCTCTAGGATAAGTACCCTACGTGCAATTGCTGGGTCTTACGGTGATCGTGTGTTTAGTTTCATAAGACCCAATCAAACCATTTTCCACAATGTATACACTATTTTACATTCCCATGAGCAATGTATGAGCAATCCCCTTTCTCCACATCCTCAGCAGCATTAGGTGTTTTCCCTATTTTTGATTTGACCATCCTGACACATACGTGGAGATAACTTATTGTAGTTCAGTTTGCATTTCCCCAATGGCTAATTGAAGTTGAGCATCTTTTCATGTGCTTATTTGCCATCTGTATATTATCTTCAATGAAATATCCATTCATGTCTTTTTCTTATTTTCTAATGGGATTTTTTTGTTTTGTCGCGGTTGAGTTTTGTTAGTTCTTTATGTATTCTAAACACCAATCCTTTGTTGGATATATGATTCCAGATACTTCCTCATTTGTTGCTTGGATCTTTTATCCTCTTAACAGAGACTTTTTACAGAGAAAAAAATAAACAGAAAACAATTTGTTAATTTTTCCTTTTGTTTTTACAGATCATGCTTTTGGTGTCAAGTCTGAGAACTCTTTGCCTAGTCTTAGATCCCAACAATTTTCCTCCCCCCCCCTTTTATTCCCTAAAGATCATATAGTTTTGCATTGACGTGTAAGTCCAGGATCCATATGGAGTTCATTTTTGTACACAGTGTGACGTTTAATGTCAATGATCATTTCTTTTTTTGTCTATAGATGTCCAATTTTTCCAGCACCATTTGTTGAAAAACCAATTCTTTCCTCACTGAATTTCTCCTGCATTTTGTCAAATATCAGTTGGGAATATTTGTGTGGGTCTATTTCTGGATTATCTATTCTGATCCATTGTTTTATGTGTCTATTTCTCTATCTCACTATTACTCTAGCTATATAGTAAGCCTTAATATTGATTACAGTGATTCCTCCCACTCCACTCTACTTTTTGAATATTATAGCTATTCTAGTGCTTGTGCATTTTCAAATTAAGCTTCAGAAGATATTTTTATTTGTATAATGTAAATTACATTATGAATATAAAATAAAATTTATAAAATTAATTTCAGAATAAACTCATCTATGATTACAAAATACCTTGCTAGGATTTTGATAAGAATTGCATTAGACCTATAAAATTAATTTAGGGAGAATTGATTCCTTTACTATGTTGAGTTTGGAAGCCCACTTTTGCACTTCAATTTAGTGCTGAATATGTATATGCTTTAGCAACCTCATAACAATGGTGTGCTGGCACATAATAGGAGCTTCATAAATATTTATGGCATGGAGGGAAGATGGGAAGGACAAGTGAAGTCTTGAAGAGTCTGGATCAGTTGTCCTTAAATCTGGCCACAGAGACAATCATCTGCTGAGCTTGGTAAAAGTACAGGTTTCTGGGCTTCATCTCAGCCCTACTGATTCAGAATCTCCAGGGATGAGGCCAGTGAATATGTATTTTGAACACCTGCTGTAGTTGATCCTCAAGTACAGCCAGGTTTATAGGATGTAGCAGCCAACAATGGAAGCAGTTGAGTCTCGTAGGAATTAGCTGTTCTTTCTGACATTTGCACTGAAACAAAGCAAGTGGTAGCTGCAATTGAGTCCACCTAAGACAAATTAACGTATGGCTCAAAATGAGTATGGCAGCCTGGGAGTCAAGGGTGGTCCTTTCCTATAAGGAGGAGGACCAGATGTATTTTGAGCCTGTATCCACCAATTTCTTTTCCAAAGAGGAAATAAGCAACCAGTGTTCAGCAGAATGTGAGCAGTTCTAACATTGTAAATACTGTTATTTAATCACTTCATTGCATACTTGATTAGTTCCCTAACCTTGAGGACTGTGAAACTGTAATGATGCACCAGGGGAGCTGGCCTCAGCTCTGAGAGAATTTAGAACAAGGCTGTTCAGATCCCTGGAAACATCTTTTTCATTAATAGCAGAAGAAGCCAAATGACCTACAAGATTTTTCTGTCATAAGGAGAACAGAAAAATTAGAAACAAAAGCACATAGAGGAGAGTTCACGAATTAGATTTTAAAGCACAGACTTTTTTAACCTTGGTCTTTGTTTTTGTTTGGTTGGTTATTCTTGCTTTCTTTCTCTCTCTTATTTTGCAGTTTCAGTCTCTTTATTTTCAGTGTAAAATTTATAGCTATATAAAAGTAATTTTTGACAAAATAAAGTGTATTCTCCTAATCCCATCACCGAAACTTTGGTCAATTTCTGTTCCATTGCTGAGGCTCCCCTCTGTTCATGTTGCTTCTCCTTGTGCCTGCGAGGCCTTCCATAGTTGTAACCAGCATGTAATTCTGAGTTATTACATCAAACACTTGACTAAGTTGTGAGTTCTTCGTAGTTATATTGCTTTCTTGGCAGTGCAATATTCTATTATGCTATTGTACCATCATTTTCTCGAATGTTACCATCATTCTAAAGCATTTCAGCCAATTCCAATTTGTTGCTTTTATCAAGAGCACTACAGTGAGCATTTTTAAATAAATTGATATTTTTCCTATTCTGGATTATTTCTATGGGATAATTCTCAGAAATTTCATTGCTAGGTCAGTGGACATACCCAGCTTTTGATATTTCTGAATATGCCAGCCTCAGCAAAATTTTGCCAGCATTGGACAGTTTTTTTTTTTTTTTAATTTTGTGAACGTAATGAATGCAAATCAATATATTGACATTGTTTTGGTTAGAATGTTTTGTATGTTTGTTGGTCATTTGTATTTTATTGTATATTTTGCCTATTGAAATCCTGTATTGATCATTATAAACTATAATGGGCTTTCTAAATATTAAAAATATTAATCTTTGTTCACAATTATGTAAACGCTTTCCCAACCCATTGCTGTTCTTTTTACATGAGTTTTGTCATTATTATTGTACGGAAGTTTAAACTTTTTCAATATGCTCAGCTTTGTAGGTTTTTTGTTGTTATGCTTTTGGTCTACTGCAGTAAGCTGGAAGAGTGATCATTCCTCTGCAGATCTGATAAAACTAGAGCCTGTTTCCTACCAGTCTTTCTCTGATATGTGTGTGTGTGTGTGTGTGTGTGTGTATGTGTGTGTGATTCTAGTAGATGAAGTGGGCTTTGAAACTAAATCGTTTTTCCAGCTCTCCCAGTTGTATCTATGAAGTTGTCTCCCCTTCCACTATGTTGAGACCCCGACTCTGCCCTGCTTTCTCTGTTACACAGCACCAGGTATGCTCCTGGGCTTGCCTCTGGTCCCCCAAGTGTTTCTTTTGGGCGTTTGCTAATCCACGTGTCTTTAGTTCTTTGTCCTAATATGGGGTAATGCTGGATCTACCACATCACTCCGCTTTCTTTACTAGATATCCCCATCTTATTTTTCCTTCATATGCTTTGTAGAATCAGGTATAAAGTCCAAAAGGAAAGTCCTTTTAAAAGAATGTATAGCTATGTGGAGTTGTATAGAAAAGATACAGAAAGATATCAAAACATACTACACCCATAACCTTGGAGCCAATTCCCTTTACAGAGTCCTTCCACTGTGATAACCATAGAAACTCCTTTGTTCCAAGGTGAACTACGAAGTGCACCCTACAACCCTATATTTGTCCCGGAGAGTGTGTGCCAGTGCCGCAGCAAGACCTCACCCTGCCTGGGGTGTCTTTGAGGAGGAGGTTGGTTCTCAATTCCTTTCACAAAGGGAAGCCACCCACCCCCTTCTCACCACCTCCCCTTTCCACACGCGCACACGCACACGCAAAGCTTTGCTGGACGTAAATCCCAGAACTGAAGAGAGGCAACAGCTATGATTCAAAATGAGTCTCGGAATTGACAAGCATGTTCTTCTTGCAGTGAGCTCTTAACAACTGGGCCAGGCCCTTCATCCCAGGTCACCTTCGCAGGAGCCTACAGGTTTCTTTCCCCGTGGCAGAGCCAGTGGGTACACTCTTTGGACCAAGGTCACCTGAGGGCTCTTCTGTCAAAAGGACTTCCATGCAGAAACCCTCAGTCTCTGCCTCAGGAGATGGTTGCTCTCTGTGTTTACCTAAAACAAGAAGCAGCTTTTAATGGGTGGCCTCCTCATTTTGCTAGCAGCCTTCCCTAAACAGAACAGTTCCGTCCTCTTCTTAACACCACTGAACAAGGGAGTTTTTCTTAGCCTCATAAAAGAGAAATATTTTGTGAAAGAAAAGTAGGACTCATGCCACTTTGTGGAAAGACCTGTGTTACACAAATTCACATGAAAAGACACATTCCAGGGGAAATGTGAAAAGGCACAAAAAGGAGAACCAGACAGATGTAGTGTGAATCCACCCCTCCTACCTGTGTGATCTCAGGCAAATTAAACCTTCTAAGCCCCTTTTAAAAAGAGAAATAAGAATATCACTCAAAATTGACATGAGGATTAAGTTAAATCACATGTAGAAACTATCTTATGTACTAGGACTGTCTTAACGTCTAAAAGGACCAAATGAAATAATTGGCTATTAGGTTTAAAGGCTGCACTGCTCTGTAGGCAAAGTCCTCTTCATAAATGAGATCATATATACAGTGGAGGGGGTTCAGCTTATAGGGGTTATGGACATTTTGGAGAATTTAAAGGCTGTTAAGATCTTCATTTCCCAAAAGAAGCACACGAGTCAACATTCTAGGTGCAGTAGCCCATAGATGCCACGAAGCACACCTGTGGGCTGCTGCATGGAGCCAAACTAAGAACTCACGCCTTGAGCACTCATGTTGGCACACCCATCCTCTGTCTGCAGGGGAGGGTGAGACCTGTTCTCCTTTTTGTGCGGGATCAGTGATTCTAACAGGACTCACCCTGAGCACATCCCACGCCACAGTCCATACATAGATGAGGACTTGGTAGAGCCTGGCACCCTTGTCATAGGTGAGTGTTTCTCTCCACCCAGACCCATATTACATGTTAGGGCACAAGGCAAACTGTCTAGTTCCTTTGACTACATGGAAAAACCCAACAGCATTGAATGCATTAAAAAGCTTGTATCCTCTCACTGGAGTAATTCCCTCCTTTGTGATTGAAGATAAAAGTAGCTAATGTTTTTTAAGCGCTTACCACTACACACTTGGCATCATAACCGCATGAGGTGGGTTTGGTTATCTCCATCTGGCAGTCAGCTGCATATGGAACAGTTTAAAAGTCATGTGCTGCAGGTCTCCCAGCTAGTGAGTGGCAGAGCCAGGCTTCAAATCTGAGCACCCCCAACCACAATGCCACACCTTTTGCCTTTCTCTTCCCGGCTGGCTCAGAGGCACTGCATATGTCAGTGGACTGGCCCTTGTGGTCCCCACCAATTGTTCAGCCTTCTTCTTTTAGCTTCCCAGCCCTGTGGAGTCAGCTCCAAGAAGACTGCCCCTGCATATAAGCTGCTTCCTGCTTGCCCACACTTCTGTCAATCCATAATGTACACTCCCGATGTTATAAAGTGTTCTACTTCCCCATAAATGAACATGAACGGTTTCAAAGCCTCTGAATCTTCCACTCTATTAACTTGTTGCTTCCTATTTCAGATAAGAACTAGCCCTTTTGTTATATTTTAATTTCGAATATCCACTCTCTTTATCAGCTGGCCCACCACGTCCTCTGAGGCTCCAGCTCAATCATTTGTGGTGGCTGAGCTTCCTTATGTACAGCCAGGAAAATGGATCTGGGACACAGTGGGAGGAAAGTGGAGGAGTGTGTTTCAATTATACCTGAAACTTCTCGGACTGATGTCTTGGTAAGTTTCAATGGACCTTGAAACTCTGTTTATGTGAAAGTTTTTGGAACATTCAGCATTTTTAAATATGCACTGTAAGTACTTTAACAGAATGTTGGGTGGTTACAGACCTGCCCAGAATTTAACCTCCCTTCCTCCCAGTGTGACAGTTTCTGTTGTCCTTACTCCTCCTGTGTCCTCATCAATATATTCTGACCCTGCCTGGTGACCAGGTCAGCTTCCGGTGGCTCCTTGCATTAACAGTGAGACTTTCCTGATGCTGGTCTATACTCAGCCACAGCAGTCCAACAAGATGGGCCCTATGACAGGACACCAAGACTGTTCTCTGCAGTACATCCAGCAGAGGGGCAAGTAGGAGCAGGCAAAACAGGAATCAGCACTAGACATTTAGATCCCCAAAAGAAAGAGACGCGAGGAAAGAGATGTACCCTCCTGTACACAGGAGTCAGAATAGATGGGCACTCAACAGGTGGGCCGTGGAGTGGGGAACCGATCAGGCTTGAATTCTGGTTCTGTCATTTACTCACTGGATAACCTTGGGAAAGCCCCAAATGTGTCGTGTGAAATGGAGCTGATGACAGTCCCCATGTTGTAGGTCGTTTTCATGGTGCAAGGGCCATAGTAAGTGCTCTGTGAAAATGGCCATCACAATGACGCATGACCCCCAGAGAAGATGCAGGGGAAACTGGGCAATGCCCGCAGACCATCCCCGCCCCCAGCTGAAGTGGCTTGATAGCACTGAGCCCTGCTGCTGTCAGAGCTCAGCCCCAGCCCACCCAGTCAGAGTGATACCCACCTGAGGGCACCGTACTCCAGGTCCACAGGCTCCTCCAGGTCTTCCCATTCACTCCCACTCTCTGGGGACTCTTCTGGAGGCAAAGACTCTGGGACAGTGCCCCAAGAGCAGAACTGTGGCAAGAGAATGGTCCCAGAATCTGCCTCCAAACATTCTTCACAGGGCAGCTGGCCTTGGCATGTAGAGTTGATGGTAAGATACTCTTCATCCTCCGAGGTGGGAGAAGGGGCTCCACATGGATGGTACATGTCACCTTCCCCATCCTCCCCATCCAATTCAGGACTAGAAAACAGAAGCCCATGTGTCTTCCAGCCTTAATAAAACAAATTCCTTGCCCCACCTTCCCCTTGCCTTTTAGAATACTCTCCACGACGCAGGCCGGTGAGACTCAGCCAATGTTCAAACAGCTCATGCCAGAGGCTGCTCTGGGCACCAGGAAGCAAGAAACAAATAAGGCACTGCCCCTGGCTTTGAGGAGCCCCCAATTTAATGAGAAGTTGGAGCAGTAAAGAAATGTTACAGTCCATGTAGGAAGTGCTATGATAGAGGCAGCTGCAGCACCTTACTGAGCTCAGGAGACAGAGGGGCTTGCCAGAGAGCACAGCATTGCAAGCAGGGCAATGACCCAATTCTAAGACTGACTCTTCACATGGCAAACAGAGTCAGTCAGACCTTGGACAAGTTTATTGACTTCATTGGAACCTCAGTTTTCTCATTTGACAAAACTAAATGGTCAAGAAGCATCTAGGATTATTGGGACATGTAAATTATATAATTCCGACACAGTCCCCTCGCTCCGAGTTCCTGATATGGGGTAAGCTTTTAGTAAATGTGAGATGCTGTGATTACTACTGTGAATATGATAACTATTTCAACAGAAGAATTACAAAGAAAAGGCCTCAGGAAGGGGTTGGGAGTGACTCAAGCAGGCAACCATCAAAGTACTTTGTGCAAAGATCAGGTCCTTTTCTGAGCACTGAAAATGTGCCTATTTAGAGAGGCGGCCAGCTAGAGTGACATTTACTCCCCGTGGAAGGACACAGGAGGCAGACAAGTGAGTGGTGAAGCTCATTATCTGGTGATGCAGCTGCAGACGTAATGGTCAAAGAACAAGGCTTCCAGGGGCTGCCCCAAGTTCGCCACACACGCCTCTTGATTAGAAAGAACAGTCCATGCAAAGGTAGGGCATTTTACACAGCACTGCAGACATGCAGAGAAGGTGCTCAGAAAATATCTGTCGAAGGTCTGGTTAGAGAAGATGAGAAGGAATATCTAAGAGAAAAGCACAAAGATTTAGCTTTTTACCAAATACATGGATCCTCATTTCTCAGCCTCCTTCCCCATACCCAAATCAATGGGTTGGCTTTGTTATGTGCTGCTGCTCTCCTTCTCCTTTCCTGCATTGCCTCTTTCTCCTAAAATTGGCTCTGGTGCACCCCAATAGCTACAAACACCCAGACACCCAGAGAGTCCATCTTCCTCCCCAGTAGAGCTGGAAGCGTCTGTCCCAAACTGAGCTTCACTGTGAAAGAGACATTATTTCCGCTCATAAGAGCTATAGGGTATGTGAAATAGTGAATGTCATGTAAATATATGCACACTCAAGTGTAAAAAAAAGAAATTATTCTACAAGGACTGAAGAGGAACACTCACTGTCAAAAGACATTCTTAATTCTTGAGCATTTGCAGGGAAAATTGGCTTTAAACTTGGCCAAATCATGTAGAAACTGTTTTCTTATAAAAATAGGAAAGAAACATTCAAGAAGTTTTATCAAAGAATGGGAAATCTAGTCTATTGCCCAGGCCAAGACTCACTACTGCCCCCATCCCCTCAAGCAGCACCCACTTCCCTCCATTCTGAGCACACTAAGCCTTGTTGAGGAGTGAGAGATGGCAGCAGTATGTTTCCATTGGCCACTGCAGCTGCTTATGTCCACACCTCACCTCCCACCAGTAGACTCCCTCCACCCCTTGTAATAAGCTCTTTGCCCTCTGGTTTCGATTCGGAGTTCCAGCTACTGGCTCTGCCTGGACAGAGACCTAGGGAAGCCATCAGCCTAAGAGGCAAGAGGCAAGGCTTCATCTGAGGCTCGACCAAAGGAAAAGTTATTTTCTTCCCGCTCGTCCAGGGGGACTTGGGGTCCCAAGGGTGAAATCTTGGCCATTATCCCACCACAAGTAGGGACAACGACTGCCTATCCTTCTACCCTTTTGCACATGCCATCAGGCTGCCCTTGGAGATTTGACCTGGGGCTCAACTGTGGGCATAGGGAAAGGGTGACTAGGGAATAAAGAGGCACCAGAAGCCTGTATGCCTATTTCACAGAAAGGGCAAGACTTGGAAATTTGGAGAATTTCATTAAGATAGAGACATTCTTTCACAGCAAGCCTCATGTTTTGCCATGTGGACATGATGGGTAAAGAGGTGGAATCCTACACCCAGGGTTCAAGGTCAGCCAGCTCATGGCTAATGTAGCAGGACTTTCAGCAAGACCCTGATGCTGTCAGGGTACACGGAGCTCTCTGCTCACCCCCTGGGTTTGTGTGATGACCTCAAGTTCTTCTTGCCCTCATTCTCTGCCCACCAAGCTGTCCAACAGAAGGAGGCTTTTATAGACAGACGATAACCAGAGGAGAATCTAGAGATTTCACATGGGCTCCCTGGCCAGCCATCTCTCCCGCACAAACCAGCAGGACCCCAGAACCAGGGTCCCCACCAAGTCCTGAAACTCCTCAGTGGGTATTTTTAAGAGGAATCCTAGTTCAGCTCTGAGGTCAGCGAAACCATTCTGAAGGTTCTACTTGCTACAGGATATTTACTGAGAAAAGACACTATGCCCAACTTTTCTGGACAGCTATCCTTTAAAGACTTGGGCCACCAAAATCATCTCTACCTTTCAGGAGGAAAGTCACAGAAGCAGATTGGGCATTTCAGGCTTAAAATATGAAGGTATTATAATTGTCCTATTTACTTATGCTTAAACTCACAACAAAGTTTGGGTTTTGTGTTTCTTCATGTCTCCAGTTCTCCATCGTCAGGCCTCATACTGATGTCCCTGTTAGCCCTGATGACACAGCTGGGAGCCCCAGGTCTCTGCTCCTGACAACTGCATTTAGTTTTGGCAGGTTGGATTTATGGTATCTCTAAAACATCAAGGTAGACTAGTTCAATGGACTGCCAGATTTGAAGCTCAGATGATAAATCTGAGCTGAAATATAATAGTTGGGATTTGTCAGAATTGTGTGGATAGGAATAGGAATGCAGGGGGCAGGTACCCGTGAGAGCCTGGAAGGTATAAAGAGAACCCTACTAGAGGCAGCACCCAGGCTCCATCCCAGGCTCTGCCACCTCACTCACTCCCCTCAGCCACACTCCAACCCAGGAGCAGGCATGACAGCTCCCTCACCTGGCAACTGCATCCCTCCCTAACTACTCTGACATCACACCTGGCCTAGCAGCTGCAGTTGAGTGAGATCTCTGGCCTCCTAATTATCTTTTGCTATTCCAGGCAGTGCCCTTCCCCAGAAGGTATGTCATAACTTTAGGTTCATTTCAAGGACTCCTGCTTCGTTTTGCTTTCTTAAATAAATGACCATCAAGATTTATACCATCACTTTCACAAAGTGATGCTTGGTGAACTTACATGCATTTTACTTACATGAGTTTAGTGATATGTGCTAGGCAAAAAAAAGAAAGAGAAAGAGAACCTTAAACATTCTGCAAAGACCAACTGTCCAACCAATGAGTGTAAGCCCTGAAGTGCACATGAGTGGGAGAACTAAATCTTCCATCCTCTCAGTCTGTCTCTGTTTCTATGGGGCCAGCATTTAAAGACAAACATTTTGCATACAGCATGGCCCATAAATGCAAGCCTCCTAACTTCGTCTGAAGCTTGGACAAACAAAAAGTGATTTGCTCCCACACCAAGGGGCAAACAACATCACTCCTTCCAAAGTGATGTTTCAAGGGTAATGAGACTTGATGTGATTGTTGCCTTATGCCTACCTTTAGGAACTAACCTTATAAAAAATGTGACTCCAGCCAAGCTTTCCCTCTGATAGGCACGTCCTCCAACTCTCCTCCATAAAAATGTACTATAGTGCTTTATTATAAGATATTTTTATAAAGATCTACTACTAGACGGTAAAACCTCTAGATATAGAGTGTGAGAAAAGAAGAGAACAGAGAAAGAAAAGTGAAATCGAATCTTGTCCATGAACACTTTGGGTTTGCTGTGGTGCTGGCAGCCATCTGGTTGTAGGAAGTTGCCACCTGGCAGATGGTAAGTTCCGGCAATTTGCTGGGAATTTCAATTGAAGGGACCTGTTCTGTAGCTGGAAATAGCTCAGGAAAGGGAAGGAAAACAGACTTGCATTGAGTTCTTACTGCATGCCAGGCAGTGTGACAGCACCCTGCACGTGCTATTTCTTTTGACCTGCACAGTACCCTGTGGAACTGTCATGGTCCCCATTTACATTTGGGAAGCCTCCAGCTCAGGGAAGGCAACTCTCCAGGCATACTAGTAAGTGGCAATGCTGAAACCATGTAATAGGATCCAGAAATCCATGCTCTTTTTGTTAAAGAGTTTGACTCACAGATGCCAGACACTTAAGAGGCAGTGGCCTGCGACAATCACCTCAGAACTGAGCTGCAAACACTTCTAAGGCTTCTGCAGAGAGTCACAATCCCACTTTGAAATTCTTATTCAGACCCTACCCAGGAACTAGGGGAACTGCGTCCAGGGGTTGCGGGGCATGCGCCCCTCTTTTCTTCCTGTAGGGGGCAGCCACTAACTATGTGTGCATTAAATGCAAACTGACCTCCTGTTGGAGGAGAGGCGGACTTGGTTTGAGTTCTTTCAGAGGGGAGGAAAGGTTCCTAAGTGAGGGAGGGAAAACGAAGTAAAAATAAAGTAAGGAAATGTGAGGAGGCAGAAAGTATTCATCAACAGAACCACCACAGGGAGGCTAGAGAAAAAGGAGGAGCGATTGGCCATTGAGAGAGCCAGGATATGCAGAACAGTAAGGCTGACTGCCCACAGTTCATCCATGGGTACATGGACCATGTTGGCCTGGCAGTGAGTATGATGGGCGATGGGCATTCACAACAGACTGAAGATTGGAGACTCCCCTGGAATGCTCTGGATGAGCCCTTGGGACTCTCATGTGGCTCTAGAAGGAGCAGTCCCCATAAGAATGACAGATTTTGGACATCTGGTATACCCTTGCAAATAGGGCCACTAAGCCAAATTTAATTTGGTTCAGAAAAACAGAATAATGTGATGTTTGATGTAAAAAAAAAAAAAAAAAAAAGCAAATGCTAAAAGATAGGCAGAAATAGGTATCCGGATTTGGAAGTAGAAGACATAAAGAGGCATAAAGATGTATTTGCTCCCTGTATGTGGGAGCAAATCACTTTTTCCTTGGTTGAGCTTCGGATGAAGTTAGGAGGCTTGAATTTATAAGGCATTCTGTATGCAAAATGTATAACTTTAAATGCTGGTCCCATAGGAACAGCATAACAGCATAAAGATTTCACCTTAATATAAGGAAGAACCTCTGATCAATAACTAGATGATGATAAAATGGGTCACTCAAGAGGTAGCAAGTTCCACATCCCTGCAGAGATTCAAGCAAAAGCTAGGACCCCTTCTTCAGGAATGTTATGGAGCAGATTCCAGCATGGAGTCTGAGGCTAAACTAGATCATTTTTATATTGAACAGGCTGATTTTCTGTAATTTAATGAATGAAACAGTGACTGCCTATACTAATAGTTTAAAACACCATTTTAAATAACTATTGACTATATTAAATTAAAGGCACCTGGCAAGTCAAATTCCAAGCTTGTACCTGTACCCAGGGTCACTTTATAATTCAGCTCCCAGGGTCTCTTTTCATTATCCCAAACTATCTGGCAGCAAAACCTTTCAATATCCGAACAAGTGCCTCCTGCCTACAGGAAAGTACGTTCCTTTTATATGTCCTTTAAGATCATGGTAATGATTGTCCTTGGACAAGTCGCTGTAGGTTATTTTCTTTATTATTTTATCAAGTATGTCAATTACTGCCTAGAGTGCAATTGTAAAGAACTATAAATACACTTATGTTATACATTATCAGACAATGAAAGTGAATGTCATTGATGAATGTGCTTGCTCACCCTGTTCTACTTTGCAAACCAGTTAGCTTCTGTTCGGCTAACACAGCGTTCTTCAAAAAATGGTAGCAGGGTACTTTTAGGGAATGCATGCCTGGCTCCTGTTTTCTACAGCTCTTACCGGGTCCAACTGTATTACACCACCGCTTTACACTTCACAGGGACTATCATTCCCTATGGATCTACCTTTGACAGTCTTCTAGGATGACCACCAAATGAGAGCCATTTCATCTCAGTGGATTTATAGAGTGGCAGACACAAATGATTGCCCCTTGTTATTTGCCTGCTTTGTGCCCAAGCCTGTGGCTGGCAAATGCCTAAAAGCAGGTCTTACCCTACATGTGCAGCCCTCTGTCTGCTCCCAACAGGTTTCCAAACCCCTTGTGTAATAAGTACTTGTCAAACTGAATCAAAGACTATGTGTTCCTTCAGCATAGGACTGAGAACCAGAAATACTTATAGATGGATGGACACAAAAATGCAGACTAAGTTTAAAATGACTGTGAAAATGAATGCTGCAGGGTGGTCTTGAAGATATAGATGTGTTTAGAAAACAAAAGCTGGTATGGCCAGGCATGATGGCCGGTGCCTGTAGACCCAGCTTCTTGACCAGCTGAGGTGGGAGGATCACTTGAGCCCAGGATTTTGAATTCAGTCTGGGCAACATAGTGAGACCCCATCTTTTTAAAAAAACTGATGTTGATAATAAAGCATTATATTAGCAATAGAAATGAGGATGCATGTAAGAACTTCCTCCTTACTACAAAGCTTTAAGAGGCCATGGAGGATACAAGAGAAAAGTTTGTGTGCCAGGAGAAAACCTGAGGCCGGCCATCTATAGTTTCCAAGACATATTGGGGACAACTGTGGTCTGGGTAGGGTTTGCTTTCCCAAAAGCTGACAGGTGGTCACAGCAGCACCAGACCTTACGCTTCTCTTGTTGCAACCTCTCTCCTAAATGCCCGGAACAGTGCTGGGTACAAAAAGCATCCAAGCATAGTTATTGATGGCTTGATTATAATTTCTTAGCAATGAGATGCACACAGTTTACAAAATGGCTGCAAATGTGGCAATTCTTACCTTCCAAGTCTCATGATATCACAAACCGAATAGCAGTTTTGCCTCACATCCTTTTCCAAAGAGGTCTCCAATGTTGATGCATCCCTTTCTTGGTGAAGTTTGCATAAATGAGGGTGGGACTCAGGAGAATGTGTCAAGGAACTGGCCCACGGTCTCTCTCTATTTTGGCCCCATTGTGCTGCTCTGATGGCCTTTTGGGAAGACTCTGGCCTGAGACTCAGGCCTTCCCCTGCTTCTGGGGAGGCACTGTCCCTCCAGCTGTCCTCTTGATCCAGGATGGGGCTGGTACATGAGTCAGTACATGTTGCCCTGGTGAATTCTTTGTCAGTTGAGAGTTCAGGTGTCTATTAAAAGAAATGCTACTGATTACTGGCTCTGGGGTGCAAATTGTTTTTTAAAAAATAAAAAGCTTTTTTCCCCCATGTGGTTGTAGATCAGAGCAGTTACAAGATGGGTTTTGAGGTCGGCCTATCACCATAGCATCCCAGCTCCTCCACATGCTCCCGGCTGGACCCTGGGCAGCACACTCAGGCACCTTAGCTTAGGGGGCTTTGGAAGCTCTCCATAAATGTGAGCCTTATTTTTAAATAAAAAATATTTGCAAAATTTAGACAAAGATAAAAATGGAAGATAAATATGCTAAACAATGACTCTATTCCACTTTCCGATAAGAAATGTTTTCTTTTTAAGTTCATCTTCATCTGTCATCGCGGGGCTTGTCTCCCTGTCTCCCGCCCCATCAAGATGATGTTCTTTCCTGGGTCTCCTCCTCATTTTCCCAGACATGACTTGCTTCATCTGAACTGCTCACCTCCCTGTCAGCCTTTTAGGTTTGGTTTTGGTGACGTGCTATGTCTTGCTGCCACTGCTCGACCTTCTACAGAAAAACAATCTGTGTTTCAGTAGAAAACTGTTTTTATCTACAGCAGAACCTGCTGGGTTCTCTGATTCTGGCTGTCTCCACTGTCTTTGAGCTATTTTACAACTCTATAAATAAACAGGTCCTTTGAAATCTCTTTTTGAGCCAGTTTTAACATCTGCCTGGTCCCCTCATTGAATGAGTTAAATAAAATCTTTAACATGTGTTCATTTTTATATCTGTAGGAATCATGATTTTACCTTTTCCAGAAAATTATATTTTAGCACTTCCACCCCCGGATCTCCATCCCTGATGTAATAAAGCCCATGGCTGGGTTCCAACCCCCGCCCTCACCTACAAAAGAAGAACCACCCCAATGAGTAGTCTCCCCACCTTTCTGATTGTACATCCCTAGCAATGAGAGGGATACACCTCCAAATGTGCACATTTATTTAATTATAAGTCATAAACATTTACTACTCTTCTGATAGACTGGATATTATAAAGGATACACCAAAAATCAAAATTTTAAGAAAGAGCATATTTTATCACATTTCATGCTATTTGGAGAGACCTACAAAATCTGTTTTTTAACCTATCCTCTCCTAGCTCACTGTCCCTGGACACGCTCTCCAGCAATCCTTCCCCACTCCAAGACTTCCAGTCTGTGGAGCTGCTGCTTTTCATCATAACCCCCACTCCCCTTCCCTGTCACACATGTCCTCAGTGTGCCTCTTATTCTGCTTAGATTCCATGGCTTTGCCCCTAGATGCTCACTTACAGACAAGGAAGACCCTGAGCGCCCACCTCCTTGCCCCTCTCTTCCTCCCACATGTCACTTGCAGATTCTGGGTTTCCATTTTAATTCCTACTCAAACTGTGTGAACCTCACCTCTGCTTCTGAGCCTCTGACTAGATTAGCTTCAAGTGTGTGACTGCAGATGTCAAATGGGTAGTCAAGACTTCCAGATAATCTTTCTCTGTGTCCTTAATCAATTCAGTTTTCTACCTCTGCTCTCTAAATTATTTCTCATCTTGTCTCTCTCTTCAAGTTTCCAACAACTCCACTCTGACCTTGCCTGTGACCTCACAGTGAGAACGGACACATTCAGATGAGAACTCTTCATCTTCCCACAGCAAATTCCACTGAGCAGCCTGTGCCCCTACCCCAACTTCACCTTCCACCTCTCGCCACCCATTTCTGTGCTCTACTTCATGGCAGCCTCTTACATGAGTGTCTCTTCTCACAATTTCCATGCCTCCCTCCTTCTTTCTCGTTCCCACTAGCACTAGCCTTCTGTCCTTACCACCCAATGGAAGGAGCCCACATCAGGGTCCCCAGTGACCTCTATCTTTCTAAAGCTGAAGAACAAATCTCTGTTCTCCCATTCTCTCTCTCTCTCAGCAACGTTCAACAAAGTGTGTCCCTCCTTCCTGCCTGAGAGCTTCCTCGTTCATTTGCTGTACTTACCTGGAGTTGATCATTAGTCTCACCCTTTCTTCGTTTTTCCACCAATTCCCAGGCCCCATCTTAATCTCATATGCTGTTCCATCTCTGTACCAGGCCTCTCAATGTTGGCATGCTCTGTGCTGACTTCTGAGTCCTCTCCTTGAACTTATCTGCACTCTTTCCCAAGGTGATCTCAACCATTTCATGGCTTTACATGGCCTCTACATGCTGACAACTCCCAAATTCACTTTTCCCAGCCCTGATCTCATGCCTATTCTCCACAACTGCCTAACAGATATCTTCACTGGATAGCCTATAAACATCTCAGTTTTACATGATATCAGAACTATTGTTTCTCCTCCATGCACCCCAGATGGCCTTCCCCAGCCCCTGTAAGCAGTCTGTCTCTTGCTAATTGGTACCAAGAGAGATGAAGAGGAAAATAGGATCTATGATTACCCTCTTAAAGCATGAATAGGCATGTGTGATCTACTGCAGAGAGAGGTATTGGAATCAGGAAAATTGGGCTTTTTACCTTCTGACCCCTCCTTCACCCTGCATTGGTTTCCTCATGCCAAAGCTTCATGGCTCTCTTTCCTCATACCCATTTCTAATCACAAAGTAGTCTCCTGACTCCACCTACCAGATGTATCCCACATCTGGCTGCTGCTTAACTCTTCAGCTACAGTCTGAGTCCAAGCCACATTATGTTTGACCTGCTTGACCTCCTGCAGTCCCTGAGCACGAGCAACCCAAGTGGCTCCTCTGAAGAATGGAAGAGGACATTTCCTGCTTAACCCTCCATGCCAGCCCAGTGGCTTCCCACTGCATGCAGGATGGTGGCATCATGTTCCTCTGATCCCCAAGGCCCTCCAGGGTCGGTCCCTGCCGCCTCCACAACTTCCTCCACTTCTGCTTCATTAACGACGGCCCAAGCACACTTGTATTTTTGTCCCTCAAACATCCAGGTGGGTTCCCATCTCAGGGCCTTTGTTCATGCTGTTCCTTCTGCCTGGAATGTCCTTACCCCAAATGTGGGCATGGCTGCCTCCTTCTCAGAGGTGCTTTACTTTATGGACTAAATGCTCACTCCCCAGAGCCGCTTACCCTTGCTCTGCAATCTGACCACTGGAGCCACCGGAGCAAATCACAATCCTTCTCCCACTTGGCCTTCGGGTATGAGGAGGGAAAGCTCACCCCCACACCTCACCTGGACCCTTCCTGCTAGATCTTTATGGGCTATTTTCCAGGATGGAAAGATTGCTTTTTTCCCTGGGATTTCCTAGAGATTTCAACAAAAACACAGAGTCCCAGCACCTTGGCCTGAATTGGTGTATGTGAAATTTGGCCCTCTCTCATCTGGTTCAGTTTCTTAACACAATTGCTGTCATCTACCTTCTTTTCCAAATCAGCAACTTTTGGATATCTTTCCCATAGCTCTTCTCTCCCTAGATGCTATGTCAAATGACCTCTTGGAGTCTAAGCATCAACAGGATCTGGGTCATCAAGCCCTTTATGTTGTCCTAGTGATGGTGACACCCTCAGGCACAATAAGTGATCCTTTTTATCCACATCCTAGAGATGAGGAATCATGAGGCCTAGAGAGGACAGGCAACTGCCCAAGGCCCATGCAGCACAGCAGGTACAGGTGATCCAGGTACCTGACCAGATCCCCTCTCTAGGACTGAGACTCACATCCCACTGCCTCATCTCCCCTCCCTTGGGGTGGCCTACACTCCAGTGCTGGTTAGGGCAACACGCAAAGGCACAGGTTCTCTTGTCCCAATTCATGGCAGCTCCAAAGGGCCATCTCTGCTCCAGGGCTCCCTCCAGGGTCAGCTGAGGCCCTGGTTATAGCTGCACATTGATCTCTCCTTCTGCCTCACCCCACTTCGGTCACCCTCACAGGGGATGTTCTCAAGTGCAGGCCCATAAAACCTCCCACACTCACATGTCTGCTGCAAAATCTGTTTCCTAGGGACCTCACAGAAGGCATGGCAATGGGTATTTTTATCTGTCAACTTGGCTAGGCCATGGTACCCAGATAAGTGGTCACATACCATCTAGATGTCGCTGTGAAGGTATTTTTTTTTAGATGTGATTTGACATTTAAATCAGCAAACTTTGAGTAAAACAGATTGTCTTCCATAATGTAGTGGGCCTCATGCTGTCAGCCGAAGCCCCTAAGAGGAAAGACTGACCTCCCTGAGGAGGAGGGAGTTCTGCCTCCAGATCACCTTTGGGCTTGATCTCCATCAGTTATTCCCTAGGTCTCCAGCCAGCTGGCCTGCCCTGTCGAATTTGGACTGGCCAGCCCTCATAGTCACACGAGCCAATTCCTATAATAAATCTCTTTCTCTTTCTCTCACTCTCTTCATATATAAACACACATAAACACACACACTCACACACACTCATTCTATCTGTTCTATTTCTCTGAGAACCTGACTAATATAGGCATCAAGGTAAAAATCCTGATTTTCCTGATTCCAATGGCTCTCTTCTTTGCACTAGACTGCGCGCGCCTATTTCATGCATTGCGGGGTAATCATATATCCTATTTTCCACATCATCTCTCAGAATGGAAATTCTTATTGGCAATTCCCTTGGTCTGCTTCTGTGTCTACTCTCCTTCCTCCCAGGCTTCCCTCTCTGATGCCTGGGCTTCCAAAGAACCTGGCCCTAAAAGTTTCACAGCCAAAGTCTAAACATGTCAACATCTACAGGAAGACCCAAATGTTGGAAGAGTCAGAATCAAGGAGAGGAAGAAGACCTACTGAGGTTCGGGGGCCAGCTCTTTTCCTGCCCCTGTGAAAGGAGGTGGCACTGAACCTACCTACAACCCTACAACCCTCTTAGGACCCTAGAATCAGGAAAAGGGGGGCCCAACCAGAGCCAGGCAGAGCGAGTAGAAGACACTGCAGCCTACCTGCCATTCCTGCTCCATCTCAGGCAGCGCACCTGGAGGGGGTCGGCAAAGGAGGAGCGTGACTTCCTGTGGGGCCCCTCTCAGTAAATGCAGCACCTCCTGCGAGAAACCAAGATTCACTGTTAGATCTGGGACTGCATCGCTGGGGATGCAGCGATGTTCTCCCCACTGTGTTCCAGGCACTGGCTCCTCCCTCCTGCACCTTGGTCTATTTCTCACTCCTGAGAACTCCAGAGAACACTGCTGTGGGCCTGACTTTTCAAAGTGCAAGGAACCAACGTCAGTGTCCTGCAGCTTCCACAAAGTTGATGCAAGATGCTGGGCTGTGCATCACCTTTGTGCAGCTTGGGCTCTGGGAACTTCTCACCTGTAATATTGCAGTAACCGCCTCTCTGGTCCCTGCCTTCACCAGTGTCACCCACCTGCCTCCCTCCACGTTGCTCAAGGGAATAGCAATATCTGCCAATACCAATGCCTTTTCTTCAGAGAGAGAAAGAGTGGCTCCAACAAATGGCTGTTCATCTCAATTGCCCTTTCCTCCCGACCTCCCCTCATCTTGGGCCACCAATTATGCAGGCTTCACCACCTGAATCTCTAAAGCCTGATCCTTGGCTCTGAGCTTCCTATCAGGGCTCGGCTTGAGCTCTGGGAACCTCTTGCCTGTAGGATTGCAGTGACCTCCTCTCTGCTTGCTGCCTTCTCCAGTGTCACCCACCTGCCTCCCTCCACAATGCTCAAGGGTAGTTTTCCATAATGCAGATATAACTGAGTCCTTCCTCCCACTGCACATCCTGGCTGACTCACTTTTCCCTCAATGTAAGCTCCAAGGCATAGCACATAGACCCCGTTTCTACCTGCTGCTGCCTCTCACCCCAGTTCCCTCTCTCCCATCTACTCCCCTCTGCACCCACATCCTAAGTCCCTGCCATGCTGAACCTGTTGCTCCAAGCCACCCTCTCAATGTCCAGGGCTCAAGGTTGCCTCGATAGCTCCTATTTCCTATTTAGACCAGGATTTCTCAAACTCTTGGCACTGCTGACCTCTCAGGCTGGACAATTCCTTGTGGGAATGCCTGTCCTATGCATCGTAGGGTGTTTAGCAGCATCTCTGGTCTCTACTCACTAGACGCCAGAAACACTCATCAGCTGTGACAACCACAAATGTCTCTGGACTTAAGCAAATGTCCCCTGAGAGGGAAATAATCCCTGCTTGAGAATTGCCTATCAGAACACTCCCTAGTCCCTGCCTCAGCCATCCGGGACTTCCAAGGGGTGCACTTCTTTCCTGGCTCACTGGTGTGAGCACTGCAGCATGGGCTTTCGTCTCCCAGGGTACGTGTCTCCTGCCATCACCGCTGTTTCCTGCCCATGAGCTCTGAGACTGCATGAGCTGTCCTCCTCTATGTCTTCAGTCTCTCATAGAGTTGCCAGCCCAGCAGTGGTTCTCAGAGAAGGGTTCTTGGATCAGGAGATGGACAGATGAAGGTACACCCTCCCACCCGAGTGTATGGTGTTCTAGAGACCTCCCCCCTGCCCTGCCCTGCCCTGAACCACTGTCCCCCTTTGCCCATCTTGCTTTGTGATTCTGGAGCTGACCTATGAAGACTGCGTGAGGCTTCCTGTTGGGCTCAGCTAGGGGAACACGGCGGGAGACCAGAGACAGGGAGAGGAGGTCATTGCTGCTTCCAGATTCCTCCCTTCAGGTTGCCATGGGATGACTACAACCTCAGCCAAGGCAAGAGCTCATGCCAGCGAGTCCCTCCACCAGCTCTCCATTCCTGGGGTGGGGTAACTGCGCTTTTGCATCCCCTTTGGTCTCAGGTTACGGGTAACTACTTCCCACTCTTCCTAGCCCTAGGCCACAACATGCTCCCTTGAGCTTCCTAACAACCTGCCCACACCTTAATTAAATGTTCCTCAAATGACTCCATTTTCTTCCAGGACTCTGTCTAACATATACAATATTTCATTACTCTTTCTTCTTCTTAAATTGCATTTTTGATCATAGGCAGGACAATCAGTGCAACAACGTATGAAAAGCTATAAGTGTAGCTGAGAAATGAGAAGGAGAACAGAAAGGGACCCAATCTAGTCCCTTCAGCCCCACACCCAACTCCCAGGATGTGTGTGAAGAGACGTCAGCCAGCACAGAGCCAGGGCTTTATCTGCAGCTTCTCTCATGAACCCAGCGAGAAGCAAGGCTGAGTTAAGGCCAGATATTTTAAAACAGAGATTTTAAATTAAATGTGAGCGTGTACCACTAATTACTCTCTTTGTGTGATTAAAATCCAGGCTGCTGGTGTGATTTTCAAGAGCCCAGAGTTTTCCCTATGGCGGCACGCCAGCAAGAGGCAAAGCTGGGCCAACCTGCACATAGAGCTGCATTGCCCGTGCCCCCCAGCACCTGGAAGATGAGGCCTTCCGTGGACCTTCCATTCACGGCCAGGATAATGTCACCAGCTTCGATGGCCCCGTTCTCCTCAGCTGGCTGTCCCGGAAAGAGCCTCTTAATCCTCACAAGATCACTTTTGAGATGGCTGCAGCTCTCTTTCTCCATCTGCACGAAACTGAATCCCAAGCCATTGGCATTCTTTTTTAGTTTAACTTCAAACTTAGGACCTGTAGTGTGATATGTTGATAAAAACAAATTCTTCAGTAGATTACAAGTGAAATTGACCAGTCTCAAAATGTAAATTGTCAAGTAGATGAATTATTTCTTTTACGTTAAAATAATTCTTTTGCTACTTTTTATGGCAGAGTACATTATGTATGTTATGGATTAGTGCTGTCCAATAAAATATAATGTGAGCTATAAATACAAACCACAAACGTCATTTTGAAGTTTTCAAATAGTTACATTAAAAGAAAAGGAAAAAGCAAATAAAAAGTAAAACAAAAAATAAATAAAACAATTAAAAAAGTAAAAGGAAACAGGTTAAATACACTCTAATCATACATCTTATTTAATACCATATATCTAAAATATTATCACTTCAACATGTCATCAATATGAAAAAATTGTTAATGAGATTTTTTTATTCTTCTTACAAACTAAGCTTTCAAAATCCAATACCTATTTTATCCATTTAGATTGGTCACATTTCAAGTCCTCAATAACCACATGTGGCAAGTGGCTACTATATTGAATAGCACTATTATAGATAACCCAACTATGTTTATACATAAAGATATAGCTGCCAGGCACACACAACATGCTCTTGGCATTTAATAAAACCTGTATCACATATATTGCTATTACTCCTTTAGAACTCTAGTCATTTTGCAGTATGCTTGAAACTAAATTTTGCATAATTAGACCATGGAGAAAATTATGGCCGACTCTATGGACAGTGCTTTAGCTGCCATTTTGTTTACCCATGAAGGCTGACCATAAGACAAAACGGTTGCCTCTGGGCACCAAGGATGAGCACAGCTGGCCATCTACACGGTCTGTCCACCAAAAAGGCCTCTGGGCTGCCTCTCTGATGCCAGCGACACCACTGGCATCAATGCACAGAGGCACAGAGCACAGACTTGCAAACTTCACCAGCGCAAGAATGGAAGCATGTGAAGCAATTATGTGAAGGTGTGTCGCACGACCAGTTCTACCATCGCCATGAGGCCTCTTCCGCTCTTTGGAGTCAGTTTCTCAAAGGCCTCAAGGGAGTGAGCAAAGGGATGAGGACAGAGGAGACTTGATTTAAAAAGAAGCATTCCCCCTTTACCCCATCCCAACCCTATGGCTGCCTTGCATCTTCTGCAGCAAAACCAGAAAATCTCTATGAAGGGACCAAAACATGGCTAAGGTCCAAATAATTCTTACTGAGGAAATTAACATGTTCCTGGCAAATACCAAAATCACAAGGAAAGTGCAGAGGGGCAGCCCATTGGAAAACATGCAGTGTTGTCCCTCTAAACTGATTGTTCATTTGCTTTTTAAAATGATGCTAATAACAAAGCTAGATTCCTGAACCTTCCTCTCCCAACCTGCCTAGTCATTCCTCAAATAACTTCATTACAAATGACTTGGCTGGACTGTGAAGCCAAATGTATCTGACAATGTATGACCCTTTCAGTCAATTTCATCCTAAATATTCACACAAACATTAAGGTTCTGGCAGCTGATCAAAGGACTGAGGAAGGCTGGGGGCAGAAAGACGCCTAGAAATCATTTGGGGAAAATGCATTTGTTTCCAGAAACCTATTCCATGAGATGGGCTTCCATCGCATGAGAAAGCTGATCTCAGCATGATCACCATGGCTCACTTTCTTTTCAGAACCCAGAGGAAGCCTTTGTGCCTTTCCCTTTTGACCTGACAATTCAAAAGCGGCACACAATAACATGACAATAGTAACACTCAATTCTCTCTCCTCTCACCATCTGTCACCGAGACACAGCTCGAAGGCCTGCCAGGCAAGGCTGTTACCAAGGAAACAGCCGTGTGTTCATCTCCCATGCTGTCATTAGCAGAAGGACACTGCTGTGTAGTCCTGGGGCCTCTTCTCTCTAAGACTAGTCTTGCAATCTAGAAGGAAGGGTGAACAAACTCAGTTTACACTTCGTGTGGCAACCAGGAGGCACTCCCTTGACTCTGCAAATGCTTTTTAATTTTCGGACGCTTCCTATGAGCAGCCTCATTTGAATCTCTCAACTAGCCTATGTGTTGGAATCTAGACCCAGATTTCTCAGTGCTTATTAGACAAGTACACCTGGAAGCAACACATTTACCTCCACTTCACATATGCAGTGCCACACTCAACTTCCTCCCCTCAATCACCCTCACTTCCCCTCCTCGTTCTTCCTAAAACACTCCTCCCCTCACATTGGCTCACCCCACCATTAACCTGCCAAGGGCCACATTTGGAGTGGTCCAGCTCTCCCTCATCTGGTTTCCAAGTTGTGAACATTTCCCATCAGGAACAACTCCCCAGTGCCCCCTCCCCTCCACCCCCTCTCTCACTGCCAGTGTCCCCCTGGGCCATGGCAAACTCTGGTTACCTTGGCTCGCTGGACCCTGTCTGCACCCCTCTTGGTCCACCCCATCGTGACTGCCATTGAACAAATTGAACATGCAACATTCTTGACTTAAAGTCACCAATGCTTCCCATCACCTAAGACTCAAACCTGTGGCACCCCAGGTCTGCACCAACTGCCCTCCCCTTTCTTTCCAACGTGATTTCCCACCTTTCTCCACACAACACCATATACCCCTGTTGCCCTAAGTGTGGTTCAAGAACCAGCAGCGAGACATCACCTGGAAGCTTCTCAGAAATGCCAAGCTCCCATTCAGGGCATGTGGCCCTGCCTTCATCTTCCTGCTGCACCTGTCACTCAGCACCTGCCAAAGCAGCCAGGAGGCCAGCCAAGTACCCTCTCTACCCATGCTCATTAGCAAAGGTCTAAATATCAGAAGGTATCAATAAATTATGGCTCCATTCTCAAGATAGGTCAACCAAAGTCACTAATATAAGCAAATTTCACCAGACACCAGAGGACCACTTTAGGAAAGAAGGCAAAAAGTGGCCAGAACATTGCGCCACAGCTTGCTGGAAGGGCCCTTAGGAATCCCTCCTGTCTCTGTTGACTTTTTAGTTGCCAAGAGAGGGTGATGCCAGCTCTGTGGCTCAGGACACTGGGGCAGTTAGAGGCTCCCACCCTCCGGCAGAGGACTTGGCACAGTGGGGTAACATCGGGTCACTGCGGGGCAGGGAATAAAGGGGACAAAAAGGATGAATGGCTCTGCTCTTGGCACCCTGAATTCCTACCTCATTGTGAGTAAAAGAATCCCAGGACACTCTGACCCAGGCCCCGGTGGGTACAACACAGGGTGATGGGGAACGGCATGAACAGGGAGTGGAGTGGGGTCATCCTATGCAAAGCTGGGGAAGTAAGAAGGCCCAAGACCCTATGGACACAGGGCCAGCAGGGCCGGGGCAGCCAGAGCCAGGCTACAGCAGTCACTTCACTCCATCTTCTCCATTCTGCTGCCTAATTCTAGAATTCAGGCAAGCCACCAGTAAGTTTCTAAGGCTATCTACAGGGGGTGAGATTTTTTTTACTTGGAAACATCTGTGTGCTACCTCCTGGGTTGCACATCCCCATAGAAAACTGAGGGTAGAAGAAATGGAAGAGAAAAAAAAAAACTAACAAAGAAAAAGTGTTGTTTCCTGCCTGCCTCCCTCCCACCCAGAGGCAATGTCAGCTTCTGATGTTGTCCAGGAAAGCTCTGGAAGGAGGGGAAGCTGGTCAGCCCAGTCTACTCACCTGCCCAGGACCCTTCAGGCACTGCACAGCCTGCTTGTGGGTGAGGCCGCACAGACTCAATCCATCCACCTGCAGGAGTCGATCACCTGCGAAAGGGACGGATGTCATGTCATGACCTGGTACCTGAGGCTGCAGGAGGTTCCCTTCCAGGAGGCCCCTGCCCGGTGCCCCTCCATGCAGCCTGGAGAAATGGGAAAGGAAGCAGAGGTGCCAGGTGTCCCCCCGGAGTCAGCAGGAATCCTGCCTCTCTGAGCAGCCTCACTCCCTTCTTCTCAGGCACATCACAGATCAGGAATATAAAAGCCTTTCTATTATTGGCTCACAGAATGGTTGAGCCAGCTCTTTTCAACCTCATCCTTCCTCCTGTTTTCCTGTGAAACCATTTTTGAAAGTATTTTCAAGTTGCTTAGATATTTATATCTCCAGGATATATATATATATTTTTTTTTTTAATTTCAAAAAAAGGTCAGGGAGGCATGGTTGATGCTGGAGACACCAGAATTCTAGGGGAAATGGAGATAAGTAAGATCCCAGGTTCTCCTTTTGGCTCAATTCTGGCAGTTTTGGAGACCAACAAAAATCACTCCCTTCCCTCAGAGCAGTGGGAGGTGAGCAAAGGCGGACAGAAGGCTCAGGTGTCCTCCCCGGATGTGCGAGTGAGGTTACCGAGGTCCACTTGTCCTCCAAGAGAAGCAGTATGTTTCCCTATGAAGGCCAAAGAGCAACACAAGTCTCTTAAGTCTTCTACTATTTTTCTATCACCTATGCTTCCCAGTGTGCCACTGCAGAACCCCCAACCTGTCAAATGGCAGGGCAGGTTCTATCACCCCCTTTCCAGGTGAGAAAAGCATGACCTGGGGTGGCAATCGTTTGCATAGTTTTCAGAACAGGAGCAGGGCAAGGCCTAGAGGCTGCCCTCCCTGTGCAGGGCTCTTTACACCATGGAGCACAGAGTTCCCAATGAGACCCCATCTCTTACCCTGTAGGATCTGCCCTTCCTTGGCAGCTGGCCCCCCAGGAACAATGGATTTCACGTAGATGCCACCATAGGGCACGCTGGTGTTAATGCCACCCTGAAAAACACAACAGAAAACTCACTACCCATCTGTCCTCCTCCAGGAAGCCTCCCCAACCTCCCCAGCTAAGGGAATCCCCACCTGCCCACCACTGTATCCCATGACCTTACCTCCCACTGGCACTGTCTTCTATATTCACCTGTTCGTTTAGATTGTATTCTCCACTGAGCAATAAGATTAGGTGTTCATAAGCTTAACAACAGAAACTATGTGAGAGATCTGGGCATGTCCCCAGCCCAAGCACTGGTACATGGCAGGTGCTCAGCAACTGGTCACATGGGATGTATCACTATCTCTCTATAGGTAGCGACCAGTATAGGTGGACATGGCTCTGGGCCTGAAGGCTTGTGCCTGGCACTTCTTGTGTGCTTTGATAGGCCAAAGGATATGTGCATTTTTCATTATAATAGATGCTGCCAGATTGCATCCCTATGTGAATATGGATATACTTATTCACATTTCCACCAGCTTTGTATGACAGTACCACTTTTCGACATTCCACCAGCTATATTTGGCCAAGCTGATAGATATAAAGTTTAAAATTTCATTTAATTTAATTTGTATTCCTGTGGCTTTTCATGGGTTTGAGTGTTTTTCATGTGCTTAATGGCCATTTGGATTTGAGTGAGACATTTCAGGAATTATTTTTGAAATGAAATAGATGCAAAGAAAATCCAAGTTTTTGCCAGCCAAAGGAAATCACCAACCTCTTCTCAGCAAATATATATTTGTGAATAACCCAAACTTTAGTGAGTTTTTCAGACAAGAAATAGCTATGTTTGGTGTCTGATAGAGCTGTTACCCCAAGCCAAGAATAAATTGACCATATTTGGCATCAGCCTGTTCCCTCCACGTGGATTCATGAGCCTTATTGCTTGGTTTCTTACTTGGTCCCTTAAAATCATACACTGCTGACAAACTCATTGCAGGCTTAGGGTCCAAGAAAACAAATATCCTTGCTCTAGGTGCACAGCATTGTCACAGGGGAAAGGAAGGATGCCTTCTGTTCACATCTCTCTTCAATTTCCTCTGAAAATTTTCATCAGTCATAGCATTTCCTTACTTTGATGGGAGATGCTTCTATTTCCCATCAACAGTTAAATCCAACAATGGCATTCCTGAAGTCCAGTCCATTCCAGGGTCTCAAGATAATGGATCACTTTCTTTCTTTCTTTCTTTCTTTTTTTTGAGACGGAGTCTCACTCTGTTGCCCAGGCTGGAGTGCAGTAGAGCGATCTCGGCTCACTGCAAGCTCTGCCTCCTGGGTTTATGCCATTCTCCTGCCTCAGCCTCCTGAGTAGCTGGGACTACAGGCGCCCACCACCATGCCCAGCTAATTTTTTTGTGCTTTTTAGTAGAGACGGGGTTTCACCATGTTAGCAAGGATAGTCTTGATCTCCTGACCTCATGATCCACCCGCCTCGGCCTCCCAAACTGCTGGGATTACAGGCGTGAGCCACCGCACCCGGCCAGTAATGGATCACTTTCAAAACTCAGTAATAAAAGCAGCACCTTCCAACCTCTGGCCTCTGGATTTTCACCAGCTTTGTGTGTGCCATTCCCCAACCCCTTGGGTAAACACAGTTACATGGGTAATCTCCTTCCACAAGGGTCTACCAGGTAGAGCTCAGAAACCAAATGCAAAGTGTCAGTCCTGATGGAGGCCTGGCCCTTGGGATGTCTGAGTAAGAGGCTCCACACTGATTCCGTGCTGGATGACAGTGGACTGCCCCACCCATCCTTGGCCAGATGACAGTGGACTGCCCTTCTCACCTTTAGCTTGTATCCCTGAAGACCCAATATGTTTCTCTCTCTCTGCAGTCCAGCTTGACCTCAGACTCGGGACACATCACCCAACTCTGCCCACACTGCCTCCCCATGTGGTTGGAGTTCCCTAGTGTATGTCCTGCTCAGCCTGAAGTTCCCCAGTACCTCTGTTTGTCTCTGAACTCATCCCCCAGTGCAGGCCCCCACTGACTTTCTTTATTCACCCCTTGCGCTTGTGCACACTGAGCACACTGTCAGAGGGTGCCGTCTGGGTAGGATGGCCACCAGGCTCTAGAGGGACATCTTGTTAATTGCTTTTCAAGCTCTCCTAAAAAGTCTTACAGTTACGCTGAATCCAAGTGTCCCATCTTCTTTAACCAGTTCCACAAAGTAGATTTCACCAGCACTGATTTCCGGAGGTGATGGAGGACAAGAAGAACCAGCACCCTGCCATAAACAAACAAACAAAAATAAAGAGGGGATGAAGGCAGATGTCACCTCTTAGCTCTCACCTACTCTCAGGAGCATTATTGCACCTCAGAAAGAGCATGAACTTTGGGCTGGGTCAGTAGGGGATGCATTTCTAGCTTTATCAGGCCTTCTCCATGTGACCTCAGACAAGGCAGGAGGAAGATGAGGGAGCGATGGACTGGACTGATGCCACTTCTAGGCAGAGAATGCTTGGGTCACTGTTCATGTTCCGCTGTCCCTCTGCCTAGAAGATAGGGTCTTTTGTCTTATCTGTCCCCTTTACTTAGTGCTTTCTAATCACCACGCATGTCAGAAAATTCTAATAACGCACAGGAAAATAAACAAGCTGGAGGAAGCTGAACAACGAAGCCTTGATTCTTCCAGAGACCTTACACACCCCATGGTTGGCAAGGTGTTTTGTCTAAATTTTAAAATTCAAGGAGCAAAACAACTGCTGAGGGTAAGACCTGAAGTGAGAATGTAAAGTCCACCATACTACAGAGGATCATCTGGCCACAAAGTTGGCCACAAGACCCAGAAGAGCCTGCACCATCTGGGTTGGGTCCTACAGCCTGCACCATGGTCAGCGTGGCCTTGGAGCTCCCTTGCTCCCCTTAACCGCCCCCAACCCCAGGAAACCAACTCTCAGGTTTGCCGCCAAAGAAGTCGCAGCCTGAAGGCCTCTCTGCCCTGCTTCCTGACAGAGAGGACCTCCCAGAGGAAGGCCTGGGTTGAAGGTTTTGACTCAACCTGAGTAAGGGAAGAGAGGTCGTGGAAGGCTTGTTTTCAAAGGTCTTGGCAGCCTTTGGAGAAACCAGTAATATCAGTTCAGCACCTAGGGCTGGAAACACTGGCTGCTGTGACCAACCCTGAAGCTGAAGGGCGAGAGAAGGGAGTGGCTGATGGACCCTGATAGAGCTGTGCTCTTTGTAGAGGGACACAGCCAACCTGTGTCAGCACAGGGAGAGAGTGGGATGAAGGGTGTGCAGCTGAGACCCCGGCACTGCCACCCTGTCCTCATTCATCCCACAACTGCAGGCTCCTCGCGAGGCTTCTCCTGGGCAGAACCAAGCAGAACACAGCAAGCTGACTCAGTCCATGAGCACCAGCTGTGCAGGGCCCAGAGCGAAATGGAGAGGCTGGAGGGGCCTAAGGAGACAACGCCACTCGGAGTCCAAAGAGACGGCAGAGGGCGGCAGAGCTGGGACTGAAGCACACAGCCCTCCATACACCTACTCCAGATCCCATCTTCTTCCTCCATGGGGTATGGCCAAGACCAAAGCCACTGAGTTCCCAGCTTGAGGACCAATTCAAGGACAACAATAGGAGATGCCTGATTGCCCACGCCTTGCTGTTGGCAGCAATCAATTTCCTCATGTTGCTATTATAATAACAATTATAATTAGTGACTAAGGACTCCAGAGGCACCCACACTGAGCCTGCACCCAGACACTGACTAGGAACTCTGCCTTCTACGCATTTTTCTCAACAACCATGCCATGCAGGCATTTGCTTCTGTTGCAGATGAGGAAGCTGTGGCTCAAAGGGGCTAAGGAACTTCCATCCACCTGACATGGAAAACAGAGAGCAGGGAGGGCCTAGGGGCCAGGCTGTTGGGCTCCACAGCCTGTTCTCATTCCTCCAGATCTAGAAAGTTAACCAAGGGATGACTACCTTTAACGGCAGAAAGGAAAGCTGATGTCTCAGCCTGGGCACTAAGCTCTTCACCCCAGCCATGTCTAGTTCTTCAATATTTCTGTCCTGGTCTTGTGTGTGTGACAACAAACTTCCCTGGTACCCGAAGCTCAGGATGTCTGTAGAGGAGACCCCAGAATTGGCTGTGCTATTCTTCTCTTCATCTGGGTTATTTCCACAAACACCTATAAAAACAAGCCAAGAAAAAGTCAACAGCTTAAAAAGGCTGGCTTCTCGGTGGCATCTCTATGTGGGCACAGTGTTTTCCTCCAATGACAGAGGGATCTTTTATAGCTGCTCAGGAACAATGTGAATTTAGCTCCTCCTGAAAGATGTTGCATTTAGATTAGAGAAAGGGAAGATTCTATATGTGATTTAGAAACCTAGATAGAGCTTAAGTGACCCAACTATGAATATGTAGGCTCAAAAGAAGTTCATAAGGCCAGCTCTCCCTTATTAAGCTCTAGCCATGTGATAGGCTCCTTAGATATACATACATATAGGAAGATATGGACATCTTCCCATCTTCTCAGCAGACCACCATGAAGGTGTAATCCCTGTTCATACATAAGAAAACAGAGTCAAAACTATTAAGTATCTTGCCCCAAATCCTACAGCCAGCATGTGGGCACTTAAACCCAGCCTTTCCTGGACACCCCACTGAGCATATCTGCAACCACCATGTGATCCAAAAACCAACGTATCAGGTCCTTTTGGGAGGCTTGGTAATAACCAGACTGCAGGCCCCTCTGAGTGAAGGCTAGGCCATTGATTCCTGCTTACCCCATGTCTGACTTGTGACCTGGCACCGAACAAAGAAAAGAATATGAGGTTGTGAATCAGTAGAAAAACCTTGCGCAAGATACTTAACATATCTGAACCTAAATTTTCCTGTATCTAAAGTAGAGATAATATCAATATCAATAATATTGTAGAGTTGAGAGAGGCTTAGAGATTATACATACAGAAAAGATTTTACATATGTAAAGATAAAAATATATGTGTATATATGAAAGAATATATGTTTCCTCATATATATATATATGGCTCTCTCTCTCACACACACACACAGACACGCACAGCTTAGTGCACGGTAGAGCCTCAATAAATGTATCTACTGTTAATATGTTATTTTTAGCTGCTCAACAAATACATGTGGGAGGAATGAATAATAGTCAGATTTTCTTTAGACCTGGATACAAGTAGATTTACTACTTTTGATACAGACTCATTAACACTCAGGGAAGTGCCCAAACTCACATGCTGAATGAATTCAATTTGAATAAATTTGATTTAATGAATTTGATTTGAAGTTATTCAAATCTAAAGGTATCCAGCAGGGACTGGCTGGGCCACTGTTTCGTAATGCTGCATTTCTGGCCATTTCATTCACAGATTCTGTCATCATTGTCCTTCTGGCAGTATCATAAGCATCGGCTCATTATCTTCCACATCCTCCATGAGAGGTGAGGATGGGACTTACGACTGAATTGAAAAGTCAAGCCATGCTGCAACTGGTGTCCTGCCTAGTAGACATATGAGCTGGGAGACCTTCTTTGGTAACTAAAACTCAATTTATTGTAGGCCATGACAGAGGCTCATGATGGACATTTTATCTGTCTGATCCCGATCTCCAATCTAGTCCAGGTGCCTTAACAGCAGCCTAACCAGATAGAAGAAAGTCACAGTGGTCAAGTCTCTGCCACGGAGACCCAGCCAGCATCACCAAGGAAACGTCTTCCTCTGGCAGTGGCCCAGCTGTATGAGGAAACCCCACCATGATGAAGGCAGCATTGTCAAAAGGTGGCTGGGGCACCACAGTGAAAGGACATTTTATTCCCAGCCATTGTGGGAAACTCATTGTCTGGAATTTTAATGTGAGGTTGTGGTTTGAGAATAGCAGACCTCGAGTACCGCTTTTTGACAACCTCCATCACAGCAGGCCATCCTTGGACTATGCTGAATTGTGATTCGGTCACCTGCATTGTGTTTCCCGATGACACATGGGACGGTTTGATTGCTCCTGTCAGTGGAGGATGTGGAAGAAAACACAGGGATTGCTGAACCACTGCAGAAAGGAGAGCAGTGGTGCTGGGAAATCCGACAGAGACAACAAGCCTGAGACTGGCATTGGGGACGTGCTGAGGCCAGTCCCTGGGAGGCTTCAACCCCGGGATGAAGGGTGTGGGGCTGAGACCCCAGCACGGCCACCTTCCACCATCCATAGCTTCTGGACAGGGGAGCTGCATGGCACTGTGTACATATACAAGAGTGAGAGTGTACACAGTGTTCAGAAGGCAAGGCAAATGTAGTGCCTGCATTTAGGACCTAGAAAATGTAGGCTGGTGTGACAGGAAGTCCTCCTGTATACAAAGGAAAACTGTACGACACCCCTGAAGTGTGAAGAAGCAATCGTGAGCCTGAATTTGCAGGCAGTCTGCTGGTAGTTTACAGGATCACCCAACCAAAAGCAGCAGTGGTCTCAGGAAACTACGGAGAAGGGATGTTAGACTCCTCCCATTACTTCCTTCAGGCTCCTCAAGCTTGCTCCCAACAAAAACAATAGTATTTTCCTTTGATATAGGCAGTTGTTGCTCTCTCATTCTTATCTAAAGGATGAAGAAAAGCATCATTAAAAAGTACTTTACTCTTTAGGTTGATCATGAACACGCACATCAAGTAAGAAGAGCGAGCTTGCCATGAAAATTCAGCTTTAAGAACAGGCCAGGTGCAGTGGCTCATGCCTGTAATTCCAGCACTTTGGGAGGCAGAGGCAGGCAGATCTCCTGAGGTCAGAAGTTCAAGACCAGCCTGACCAACATGGAGAAACCCCATCTCTACTAAAAATATAAAATATGCTGGGCGTGGCGGTGCATGCCTATAATCTCAGCTACTTGGGACACTGAGGCAGAATTGCTTGAACCCAGGAGGTGGAGGTTACAATGAGTGGAGATCACACCATTGCATTCCAGCCTGGGCAACAAGAGTGAAACTCTATCTCAAAAAAAAAAAAAAAAAAAAGAAAAGTTCCCGTTATCCTCAGCAAACTAACACAGGAACAGAAAACCAAATACCGGGCCAGGTGTGGTGGCTCACGCCTGTAATCCCAGCACTTTGGGAGGCTGAGGCGGGCGGATCACTTGAGTTCAGGAGTTTAAGGCCAGTCTGGCCAACATAGTGAAACCCCGTCTGTACTAAAAACTACAAAAATTAGCTGGGTGTGGCAGCACATGCCTATAATCCCAGCTACTCAGGAGGTTGAGGCAGGAGAATTGCTTGAACCCGGGAGGTGGAGGCTGCAGAGATCATGCCATTGCACTCCAGCCTGGGCCAGAGAGTGAGACCCTATCTCAAAAAAAAAAAAAAAAGGAAAATCATATACCACATGTTCTCACTTATAAGTGGGAGCTGAATAATGAGAACCCATGGTCACAAAGAGGAGAACAACAGACACCGGGGCCTACTTGAGGGAGGAGGGTGGGAGGAGAGAGCGGGTCAGGAAAAATAACTATCGGGCACTCTGCTGAGCACCTGGGTGATGAAAAGTTCTGTACATCAACCCCTGTGACACGAGTTTGCCTGTAATAACAAACCTACACAGGTAGCCCTGAATCCAAAACAAAAGTTTAACAAAGAACAGTTCCTGTCTCCCCTCCAGCTGATTGCTATACCTAAACCCAAACTACAGAAATCCTGGCGCAGTCCCTATCAACAAGGATTTTGGGTGGCAATAAAAAGGTTCTCCCTGCCATGCAAGGAGCGTTGACGGAAAAAAAAGACTGGTTGTATCCAGCCGTGTCTAACAAAGAATTAGAGTAGGTTACTCCCTTTTAGCAACACAAGCAGTGGTAACGCCCATCCTGCCCCTGAAATTGCAAAGCTTATTAATTCGTGCCATTACACTGCTTCTTGGCAAGCCAATACCACGAGGAAAGGAATACAGAAGACCTACGTGGACTTCAAGGTCTAGTACCTCATAGTAATCATGTACTCCTGAAAACAGGGGAGGCTCTTCAGCCCCCAAGAGCAGGTTAAAACATACCTTTTGACTGAGAAATAATTAACTCTATGTTGTCAGGGGAATTCTGGATCATCCTAACAGCCATGTTGAATGTGAAGCCCTCCAGACTGATGTGATTCAGGGCTAGTATCTGCCCTCCTGGAAAAATAATACATCTAAATAATCCTTCCAAGGAAATAAAAAAGAGTGATTTCTTAAAACAGTATCTCTAGTGATTTAAAAAGATGTACCTGGTTTGATCATTTTTGCTTTTTCTGCTGGTCCTCCAGGTATAATAGAAGATATAAAAATGCCAGGGTCAGCTTGGCCTGCATACTCTCCCTCATTAATGACAAAACCTGTAATCCAAGATGACAGTCCGTGATAAGATGATACTTAGTGATTTTGCTGTTCAGAGAGGTTAGGTCATTTCCCTGATATCACACAGCTACCAAGTGGCATTAGCTAATAGTTACAGTCAGGTCTTCTGATCCTCAAATAGAGGATCCTTTCTACTCTGCCATGATACTTGGAGAAAGGTGGATTGTTCCCCATTAGTAAGCACAGCTAAAGCTAGGAGCACAAACCACCAATAGGCACTGGATTTTGCTTCAGTAAAGAAATGATTTTTAATCAAGTACCTTGTTTCCGTACCTTGTTTCTTATACAGTTTTTAGGGTCTTAGAAAGTGGTTACTAGTAAGAGGTGAGATAAATTGACTCTTCTTCCCCATGGCTGACTAGAAGAAGGTTGCTACATGGGGAAAAAACGTAGAGGAAAAAATCTTTTTCTGCATTGTACTTAGATGCACTGCAAAAATGTATCAGGCCTAAAAGAAAAACTTTGAAACAAAAGTCCCATTGCTCTTTAGGAACAATTAAAGGGAGAAAAAAGCAGAAGTGATTACTAGAAAAGGCAAACTGGGAGAGGACGGATAGGAAAGGGGAGTAGACAAGTTGAAAGGGAAAACAGCACCCACCTCCCCACTTTGCCCAGCGGTAGAGACTGGGCCTCACCTGCAGGGAACCCTCTTACCAAAACCACGATGTGGGTCGCGTTTCAGTGTCACACGCACGATTTCTCGGCCTGGTTCAGCTGTAAAGCTCTTCCTCCTATTATTCTGTGACCCTAGAGGTAGAATCAGAGCACCACACTGTGCTTTTCCCCAAAATTATTTGGGAGCTAATACAAAAGGAGTAAACAGCATTTCACACACACACGTGCATGCACATTCACATGCACACATTCCTGAAAACAAAAGTAGCTCATATTTTATCTTCCAGCAGTGCTGGGAATGGACACCTGAACACACACTCATGTAAGTGGAGTGTCACTCAGTGTTGCTCAAGTTCCAGCTTAAAGAGCAGGGGCAAGAACAGTATGGGCTATGGTGCGTGTTTTCTGTATGACTTATTGTAGCCATTTTGTTCCGCATTGGTTTTGGGACAAGACAGAGGATGAGCAGAGATGTATTAATACTTGCTGAGACTGAAAACAAAAACAAAAGCTAAAACAGAGATGAGACAGCAAAGCCTTCCCATCCCAGGCCCCAAATAATCAGCGGTGACAAGGTGTCAGCAGCCCAGCCTGTGTGACCTGTGGTCTTCCCCTGGCTTGGATCATGGAGGAGCCCCAGACAGAGCCCCGAAGCTGTTCCTGGAGAGCTGGAGTCCTGGGGTGGGGCACTTCAGTGTGTGCCACAGCATACTTGGGACAATCCCCAAACAGTGACCCACTACTGCAATCCTTCCGCATCTCTCCCTTCCCCAGGGACCTTGGCAGAAATTGGCAGACAGTTACTGGTAAAGAGTTGCCTGGGTTTTCCTGATTGATATGGTTTGGCTATGTCCCCACCCAAATCTCAGCTTGAATTGTATCTCCCAGAATTCCCACATGTTGTGGGAAGGACCCAGGGGGAAGTAATTGAATCATGGAGGCTGGTCTCCCCATGCTATTCTCGTGATAATGAATAAGTCTCACAAGATCTTATGGGTTTATCAGGGGTTTCCACTTCTGTTTCTTCCTCATTTTTCTCTTGCTGCCATCATGTAAGAAGTGCCTTTTGCCTCCCACCATGACTCTGAGGCCTCCCCAGCCATGTGGAACTGTAAGTCCAATTAAACCTCTTTTTCTTCCCAGTCTTGGGTATGTCTTTATCAGCAGCATGAAAACGGACTAATACAATGATCCAATCCCCAGGTTTAATGCTCACTGAGTAGAGATATTTTTCCAAGTGTCGGATCTCTTTGTCCTTACATTCAACGGGGAACTGGCCAGGAGGATGCATGGCAGAAGGGACTGCCGTCTACTCTGTGTATGTTTTCTGGTGAATACTAGGAAACATTGGTGTTCTGGCTTGCATAAAGAAGCATATCTACAGTGAATGGTGCCTTTTTCTGAACACACCCTCCATAGGAGGTATTCTTCCTTCTGGACAAGAGTGTTGGGATTGTCTTCGCCAGAGCTAACACACTTCAGATCCACATACCCAGCCAAAGCTAAATGTCTCTTCCCAACCACAGGTAGTTTAAAAAGAAAACAATTCAAAAAACAAAAAGATTACAAACATTGTGTGGGAAGCAAAATGAAGTGGTGGTAAAAGACTCAAAGCAAGCTTCCTGCGTAGGGGTTCCTCTACCCGAGACCTGGCCGCGGCCTGGCCCATACCTGCATACACGCTCTGAACAGGTGGCCCAGAGAGAGAGTCCCAGGTCATTGGCTTCTGGATCACACAGGCACTCTTCAGCTGCTCCCGGCCAGTGCAGGGGCTGCTGGGAAAATACAATGAGGTTAGATAAGGTGGCCGCCCACGGGGAAGGACAGTGAGGTTAGATAAGGTGGCTCAAGGAGGAAGCAATTTCTTGGTATTTCTGAGTATGGATGGTGGCACAGGGAGGGCAGCCTTGTGTCCAGTCATCCAGCAGCTCCTCAAAGGGACCCCATCAAGGGTTGATCTAGTTATTAGGAGGGCACTGGGAAAAATGGCTCTTGGATCTTTATGTCTCAGAGGGGACACTGAGGTCACTCGGCTTCATATGAGCTTCCTGCTATGTGCAAGATATGTGGCCCTGCAAACCTCCATTTATTCAACCACAAAATAAGAATAATATTCCTACTTTCCAGGCTTCTAATGGAACTGAAATGAGACAGTAAGCATCAAACACCACCCCTCTTAATGGATACTGATGTTTTGTCATTTGCTCCTGTTTTCAGCTGAAGGCCTTCAGCCAAGCCAGGCACCCTCCACACCCTACCTACCATGTGACTGAGGGTCACTGACATGCTTGATCATTGTACATGCACAGGGTCACTGACATGCTTGATCATTGTACATGCTTGCGTTGGGTGCCGCCTGATCATACCACGCTGTGAACAAGAAGCATTCATGCAGGCATTCAGTTGGCCCTGATGGAATGTGCTGCATGCTAGTAAATAATGTACTAGAGCCTAGCAGAATAACGAGTCAAGGGAGATGTTGCCCCAGCCCTGGGGTCAGTTCTGCACAGAGACAAGCTACATTCAGAGGTGAGCAATGTCTAGAGTGAGAGGGAACAATTGATGTAAAGCTGTGTGTCTCAGAGCCCTGGAGAAAGCCAGCTCTGGGCCTCCTGGGTGGCCAAATCTCTGAGCAGATTCAGCTTCCCTGGTTACCCAGACTGACCCCACCCCTCAGAGCCCCACAGCCATCTCACAGCTTCAAGCAGCTGGACTATGTAGCAGGGGACGCTGGCATGGACAGTTTCCTGTGGACCCTCCCCCTGTACCCTTGGAGCTGTGACACCAGGGCTCTCTGCAGGGAGCTTGGTACTGTGCAAAGAGGCTGCAGCCGGAAAGGGAAGAACAGGGGTGGTGGGGGAGGAGAAGTCCAGCCTCACAGTGAGGTGCAGCACAGAGTAGCTTTGGAGGCTGGCGACGGATGAGGCCTCACTCTGACCTGGCTCCTGTTTGTGCTTCCCTTGGAGCATGATAGACCCACAGTGACAGAACCCCAGGTGTCAGGCCTGGGTTCCAAAGCACTGAGGGTAAAGGGTGGGTCAGGCATGGGCCCTATCCTCTGGGAGTCCCCAGCCTGCTGTGGGGTGCAGGGGGGATGACTTTCATGCCTCCTAGAGCCAACCAAGGAGCCCAGGGAGAGGCAGTGACAAGGTGTTCGTGTGCTCAATGGATGGAGAAATCCCCACAGTCTGGGAGGAGCCAAGAGAGGCGATGAGGCTGAGGGGGCCTTCACGTGGCCTTTAGGGAAAAGGAAGAGCTTTTCTGGGCCTGGGTTTTTATGACCCATGTGATCCGGGCCATACATGCAACCCTCTACTGCTTAAAAGCCAGTCACTGCCAGCCACAAAAGGATGAAATGTGAATGATTCCACTCATCTGAGGAGCCTGGAGCAGTCACATTCACAGACCAGAAGGAGCACGGCAGCGGCCAGGGTCTGAGGTGGGTGGAATGGGAGTTGTGTCGAATGGGTGCAGTTTCAATTTGGGAAGACGGACAAAACTCTGGGGATGGACTTCGGTGATGGTAGCACAACATCGTGAGTGGACTGCATGCTACTGAACTGACAAATGGTTAGGATGGTAGGTGTTATGTGTATTGTTTACCACAATTTAAACACATTTTAAATGCAAACTTTAAAAAACCCATTTACTGAAAGTTTTCCCTGCCAGCCTCAGAGCTAAGGATACACAGGGCACATTGCTGTTCTTGAGAAGTTCCGTGTTTAACAGCACAGACACAAGCGTGTGGGTGTCAGGGTGGACGGGACAGAGGGTACTGCCCTAACTGGAGCCAGGGATGTGGAGGAGGCACACCTTTGCCTGAGGCAGTGGGGAAAGGCTTCAGAAAAGCAATGATGTGAAGTCAGAGGCCACCTCCCAGGGGTGGGAAGACAGGCAGGAGCTGTACCTCAGGGCAGGCAGCCACTGGCACCTCTGTTCCATGAGGTGCTGTGTAAACAACTGCTCAGGAATGCCACTGGCGATGGGGTCCTGCCTCCACGTGTCAGCCTTCCCTCCTGTGTTCACATGCCCAGGCTCAGGCCAGCGGCATGGCCCGCACCTTTCTACACAGACCCCATGTGGGCCACCTATCTGCTGGCCTGTGAGCTCATGAGGTGGGGACCACATCTGCCCTGCTCATCACCAAGTCCTCCGCACCTGACCCAGGGCTGGCACACAGTAGGTGCTCAATCCATTTTTCTAGTAAGACTAAGGAGGCCCTTGCTCATGGTGTTCCTCCTCTTCTTCTCACGGTGCCCAGATCCTACTCATCAGTCAAGACCTGATGTCACATCCCCCAAGCAGCCCTCCCTGGTGCCCTTGCTTGGAAATTGCTGCACTGTTCATGGAGCCTAACACTGTGTTTGAGACCAGCATCAGGGCAGTCACCACAGACCCAGCCCATATTCAGCTTTTAAAACATGACTTAATTCCCACAGCCACCCAGTGGGGAAGGATGACTAATACTACCACTGGACGAATGAGGAAACTGAGGTCTGGGGTGTTGAATAACTTCCTTGAGGTCACACAGCACTAGACCGTAGAGCAGGTGTTGGCGAAGGACTTCCATGATGCAGGGCTTGATCCAGAACCCTGTCAGAAGGGGCCCTCGGCAGAGTGGCCTCTGTACCATGACAGAAACGCTAAACATCTCTCTGCATCACTGTCATGGCCTTTGGCCCACCTCAGACTTCGACTGCCGTGGTGAAGGGCAGTTCCATGAGAGCTCAGGCTCAGCTGAGCTGACAGCATACTGGCTGAGGTGTGGCCCTCTTTCTGCTCTAGAGATTCTTGTCCATCTTGGGAGCCATCTCCTCCACCCCCACTATTCCCACCTTACCCAAAAGCATGGGAGAGTCCAGGCCTCCCATCCTTCAACCAAAGGGAAGTAGGAGCCAGTACACGGTGTTTGCCTCCTGTCCTGCAGTTCTAGGAGGCCTCTGCACACCTCTGTGGAGCTGAGCCCTGGTTGCCCTCAACAGCTACCTGGTGACCCCCACCGCTGTGACCACACTTTGCCTGCTTCCTCAACTCACTCTCTCGCTCACTCCTTCTTGGCATCAGTTCCACAAAAACATACCCACACCCAAACCAGTGTCTCCAGCTGTGCTTCTTGGGGGTGGGGTTGGGGGAATCTTCCAAGAATTCAAAAGCCTAGTAATTAGGTTTCCCTTTTCACCCATGGGTTACCAGTAACTTCTGATGTGAGTTATTAAGGATCATGAAAATTTGGCATTTGTAAACCAAGATTAGAGTTATACCGAATTGTATGGAGGGCACCAATTCAGCTTTCTCTCAAGAAGGCCAGCTACCATGCAATACTGAAAAGCCCCTACTATGCATGACCACTGGCCAGTCGCTGGAAGGGCCACCATTCTCAGGAAGGATGCTTTGCGGGAAACACATCCTCAAGATGGCCTTGAGTCAGTCATGGCTTCTTCTGCCTTTTAAACAATGAAGTGCTATAAGGTACCATCAGTTTGGGTGACAGATGAAAGATGTCCACAAGGTCTTGGACACTCCTACATCAAGAACTGGAGCTTATTTCTGCTCCCTTTGAATCTGTGCTGACCTGTGACTATTTTAACTGACATATGGCAGCAGTGACACCAGGCTAGCTTCAGGCCTAGACGTGAAGAGAACTGGCAGCTTCTTTTTGGGATCCTAGAGCCCTCCTGCCAGGCAGAATCTTGCTGGAGACCCCACAGGGAGAGGAGCTGAGACTACTCATGGAGAGAGAGGGGCTCCATGAGCACTGCCTCTCAACCATCCAAGGAACCAGCCTGTGAACAGAGTCAAGTTGCATCCTCTAGGCTACTCCAGCATCTGCTGGACCCCAGTCAATAGCACATGAAGTCCAGAAGAATCCCTCAACCAAGTCCTGCCTGAATTTCTAATCCAGTTCATTGTGAAATTTCTAATCCAGTCATTTGTTACATAGCAATAGATGCTCGAAACCGTTTTGCTTTACCACTGTTGATTTAGTTTGTGATGCACAGCAATGTATATTTGCATCAACAGAATTGGAGACAATAATTTTCTAAGAATTACTTTAAGAAGATAGTCATGGATATAGATATTGGTATAGATATAGATACACACATAGACTTTCGGTTCAAGTGAATCATCCATACCTTCTTGCTGAAGTAGCTGGAAAACTCATCCCAAAAAAACAGATCCTGCAGCAACCTTCATTGGTCATATGCTGCCTGGGAATCTGTGCTATTTCTATAAATTGCAGTGTAAATGTAATCCAAGTCCTAGGCTATTTTTAAATTTATGAATCATTGTTTTGTCATGTGAAGTTGCATTCATAAGCCCATTATTTTTACATACAAATTTAAATGATAAGCAACTCATCAATAGGAAAGGTAGCATGGTGTAGAGGTTAGGAGTTGGACTCTAAGGCCAGCTGCATGTGTTCAAATCCTAACCCCTGTGTTTTCTCTCTGTGATGTGATGAGGACAACAGAAACACTTAACGGAGTCATAAGACTTAAATTAGTTGATGTGTACGCATGCACAGAACAGCACCTGGCTGATCATAAGGCCAAACAGGCTTATTGCAACTTGTTTATTTGTCCTCTCCAATTTTGTGTTATCATGTAGTTCTTTCTTCACCAAAAGACCGGAGCATCATAGAAGGAGGAATGAGATGTTTGTCCTAGAGTGTTCAACATAGACTTAGCCCATAGCTGGCCTTCTGTAAATCTCTGTGGAATTGATTGACAGCTACCCAAAAAAATATATACTTTTCTTAGACATCTAACATCCTTTAAACAATTTCTTGGCTGGGCATAGTGGCTCATGCCTGTAATCCCAGCACTTTGGGAGGCCAAGGAGGGTAGATCACCTGAGGTCTGGAGTTCGAGACCAGCCTGACAAACATGGAGAATCCCCGTCTCTACTAAAAATACAAAAATTGGCCAGGTGTGGCAGTGCATGCCTGTAATCCCAGCTACTCGGGAGGCTGAGGCAGGACAATCGCTTGAACTCGGAAGGCTGAGGCTGTGGTGAGCCAAGATCATGCCACTGCACTCCAGCCTGGGCAACAAGAACGAAACTCTGTCTCCAAAAAAAAAAAAAATCTTCAATACAGATCACTGCAGAGCATCAAGCACATGGTGGTTTGGGCCCAGAGAACACATGTGTCACACCCACCTGCGCCCGATGCCTTCTGCTCCAGCCTCCTTGCTGCCGTCCACGTTGAAGTTATCCAGTGATGTACTCAACAGGCCTCCTACAGCGTCCTGAAGCCTGGATGCAAACAACTCGTTTTCTGAACATGACAATCTCTGAATCCAAATGAGAGGCTTAGACTGGGCCTGGTGTGCAGGACTCGAATTGGCCATTTGCACAAACTTATCATGGTCTGGATTTGGGGAGAAAAAGATAGACATACACACACACAAGGATGATGCTGGATCCATTGCTGTGGTGGTTGTAACATATCACTGGGCCCCCGCTCTCCTCCTCCTTTCCTTTTCTGCTGCTATTTTGTCTCCTGCGATTATCCCTGGGAATGCAAGTTCTCCTAATTAGCACTTGCTAATGAAAGATACCTCAGAAACAGAAGAAGGAAGAGACAAGATGCTTTCTCTCCCCCCTGCGACTGACAGGACACAGAGCCAAGGAGCCTGTTTAAATGGGTGCTAACCCTAGAGCAATTGCGGGTGTGTCGGGCTCTGGCAGAGCCTCCCACGAAATCAGCTGCCCCATCGCCTTCTGCTTTCTGCTTTTACAGATCTGTCCTCCCAAACATTCTTATAACAAATGTTCCTCCAAATCCCCTGGGATCCCAAGATTAGGCTCTGCTCTGTGGCGTATAACCTTTAATCTCTACACAGCTTAGTTTGCCCTGGTAATCATATTTAATACAAGGTCCTATTTCCTGGAATATAATATGAGATGTGTTGGGTCCCCTCAGCTTTGACAGTTGCCTTTCTCCTTTCATGCAGAAATGTTTAATAAATAACTTTGATGAAGTCTTGAACTTAAGACCATGGATGTGATTAACTCCCCACTTCACGATTCATATTGTTCATAAAAAAAAATTGGGATTTGAAAAATAGAGCTTTTAAGTTAATGAGGCTTTACATAAAGCCAAGTTAGTATTTTAAGAAAGGAAAATGATGACTACATTCTGACCATCTGCGCCTTGCTAAAACCAAGAAGGAAAGAATGGTCAGACACATGGTAGTGGTATGGCTCCTGGTTTCTCTGTGTGTGTATGTGTGTGTGCACATGCACTTCTAGAGCCTGGTGAAGTGCCTGCTTTTCAAGGATATCCATGGGCATATATTTCTTCAAACAGACCCCCCTCTCTTCCCTACAATGGTGTCTGGTTCCTTGCCAGGGCTGTGCTCACTGAAAAAGCCAGCATTTAAAAAAAAAACTTTTTGAGAATTTTCTGCATGCATGAGGCATTATGGTAACATCACTCACATACAGTAGGCAAAAAGCAATGAAGGAATATAAGTAAATTAAACGTGACCTGCAGCTTTTGCACAAATTGCATAGTATCTTACTCCAGAGCTAGGGTTTGCTCAGAAACAGCAACAACAGCAGTAATGTCAACACCAACTACTAATATTTGCTGAATGCTTACTATGTGCCAGGCATCGGGGGAAGCACATTATCTGCACTGTCTCATTTAATCGTCACAATAACCCTGTGGGGTAGATACTATTATACACAATTTATAGATCATGGAACTTGGGGCTAAGAGACTGTTAATAATTTGCTCATGGTCCCAAAGCCAGTAAGCGGTAGGGCAGACTCACACTCAAACCTGCAGACTCCACAGTCCACGCTGGAAAATGGGGACGCTGAGGACACAAAGACAATGACAGCAGCAGGGGAGATTGATCTGAGACACGCCCAGCCTTCTGTTCACCAGGGCCCAAAGGGACAGTCACCTTAGACTTAATCATGATGGATATTAATACACACGGGGGGATATGCTAGGCAGAGAGTGAAGGCAAGGTCTCAGCTCAGAGAGGTTTAGCGGGTTTGAAGCAAGACTGTTCAGAGACTGTGATTACAGGAAGGAGCCATCCCTTAGAGGCAGGGGACTCACAGAAGTCAGCAGAGGAGAGAGAGCTCAAGGGCCTGTGAGATGCTGGAGAGTGCCTGGAGCCTGAGGAGGAAGCTCATTTAGCAGGAGAGGGGCTGCTTAGTGAGGTCAGGAAATGAGACCCTGGGTGCCAAGCACTCAGCATCAGGGACTCAGCCTACAGCTGTGAGCTGGCAGGGCTGCCAGTGAGTGCCAGTGTCATCGCTAGGCCTCAGCTTCATGGGGCTAACTGGGTGGACAAACAGTGGAGGGGGGATTTGTTGGAAGGTGGTAGAGCCAGAAGCAGACAGCCTTTCAAGAACGGAAAGAAGTATTGCCATGAATGTCCCAAAGCCACTAGCGAGTCGAGGACAGTGGACAGTTTCTATTCCCTGCTGTGGGTGACTCGTAGCATAATTGTGGCACTAGGGAAATAAGGCTGAATCCATCTGGATGTCAAGGGCAAAGTCCAAGTCAGTTACAGTGTCACAAGGGCACAGGATATACTTAGAGCCAAGGGCCACGAGGAAAAGACACCCGGGACAAGATTCTGGGCAGCTCACTGCAAATCTGCAGTCTTGCAGCCTTCTTGGGGAAGGGCCAAGACCATTCCTGCAGCCCCCAGGCCACCCATGAGAAGAGCTGAGCAAAGGCCCATGGACCCCACTCTGCAAGGCTGACAGATCCTGCCTATTTAGTCCTGAAATTATGCATTTGTAAAAGCTCAGTGATCTATCTTTTCTCCCCACAGAACCAAATATAACTATAAAGTAATATGCTTATTGAGACAATTTACAGAAGAGTGACTAAGAAGCACTTGGAAAGTGCTCAACTGCTCAAAAATCAAAGGACTGCAAAATAAAGCCACAGTGAGAAATCACTTCTAGCTATCAAATGAACAAAGATAAACACGATGATATCTATTCCAGCAAGGATGCAACAAAACAGGCAAGACAATACTGGGCTTGAGAATGGCACTCGAGAAAACAGCAATAGTGTTAAAAATGCCCATCGCTGGTGCCCAGCAATTACACTTCTGAGATCTAACTAAAAGAAACGATATAAAATACAGAAAAATATTTAGTCAAATGATATTTATCATATTATTTATAATACTTAAAAACAAAAAGTGAACTAAATATCAAAAATGGGAAGGGTTCAGTAAATGATTGTAATTCCACGCAAATCGTCCATTTGTTCATCAAAAAACATGTATTAACTGCTTCCCATTTGACACACCACACCTCTGTTCTGTGCTGGAGCTGTTCTTGTGGAACTCCCAGTCCACTGCTGACTACAGGCAGACATATCCACAAATAAAAGTGGCAGAATAATACAGGTGAGAAGACAGAAGTCTGCACAGCAGAGGGAGTGGTCCATCCACCTAGGAAGAGCCACCTGGGGGCAGTCAATCAGGAAAGCCTTCAAGGAGGAGGTTACCGGACTTATCTTGGTGGTCTGAGCCAGGAAAGGGTTGGGAATGCGCTGTAGGCAGAGGGTATGCTGGACACAAAGGCCCTGGAAGCTGAGTCATCCTGGTGTGCTGAACAGCCTGCAAGCTGGCATGAAAAACAGCCAGAGGCCAGAGAGGAAGAGTCAGGGCAAAGAATACAGCAGGACTGGGGGCAGAGTGGGAAGTGTCTGGCATGCCATTCTAGAAGAAGTTTGAGCTTGTCCCTGCAGACAGCAGAGAGCCATTAACAAGTTTTCAGTATGGAAGAAAATGATCGGATTGGTCCTTTTGAAAGGTCACTCTGAAGCCTGAGAAGGACAATTATCCGGGACATGAGTACCAGCAGCAAGTCCATTATGTGACATGCCTCCATTTCAAGGATATGACATGTATTGGGTTTCCCCAGCTTTGACATTGCTCTCTCTCTGTTTTTGGTGACAAGTGGGGTGGGAAGAGAGGGTGCAGGCCCAGACACTCCCAGTTTCCTGCAGGGAGGCTGGGTGGACCCATTTGAACAAGACAGATATCATGGCAAAGAGAGGCGTGTGAGAGGAAGAGATCAATTACGGATGCCCTGAGCTTGAGGGATGTGTGGGACCATCAGCTGGAGATGGCCAGCTCTCAGCTGCATGTAATCACTGAAAAGGGTGTCTGCAGAGAGAGTTTCTAAAATGAAGAAATATTTTAAAAGGCAAGGAAACTTTGTCCAAACTCATCCTTTCAATGCAAATAAATGTTAGATTCCTAAAAACTCCTAAGACGGTAGAATGTGCAGTTTGAGAAAACAGCCTATTACAAGTGCCAAATAGGCCTGAAAGGACTAATTTTACAAGTGAGCTCATGAAATCTTTATAAACATTTTACAGTCACTGAAATCAGGCAATAAAAGCAATATCAATGGTGTTTCACACGCTGTTCTCAGCAATAGCAGGTAAGTCAGGTATAATTAATTTACATTTGTCACCTCCAGCTCCCTGGAAATATCCTGGAACCACCAGCCTGTGGTTTCAATGAAAAGTTTATATGTTCATCTGGTTCTGCTGCAAATAATAAAATAAGCTACCATAATTTTCTGTGTTTGGTTCTGCATCTGAAAGTTCAGCAATTTTGTTTCCCAGTTGACCCCAACTCCTGGGCCAGCCCCAGGGCCCAATGACACAGCTCCCCCATGAATTGGCTGGCACTGAACAAAACCCCCATGAGCAGGAGCCACCATTACTACTCTCGCACTGAGCACAGAAACACCAGACATTGAGCTGGAAATGTTACACGCACGCACCTTCCCGCTGGAGCACAACACAAACCGACAGGATGGTCTGTATGCGCCAATGAGGACACTCCAGCTCTGAAAGGGGAAGTGAGCTGCCCAAAGTCACACAGTGGCACTCCCCTCAGTCTACCGGACTCCACAGGCCACATTCCAAATCAGTGTTTCTGAAGCTTATACGTACATTCAAATCACTTGGGTTCTTTGTAAAAGGCAGATTCAGATTCTGAAGGTCTGGAGTGGGGACTGCAATTCTGCATCCTTTGCAAGCTCCCAGATGACATGCATGCTGCAGCTCCAGAAACCATGCTCTGAACATGAAGGGTGTAAACCACTGTATTATATTGTTCCCTTTTGTAACCAAAGAAGAACTAATGCTTAGAGATTGACAGCAGCTGTGGTAAAGCCAGTGTGCAAAACCAAGTCTCTCTAGCACTGAATTCCATGCTCTGGCTGGTTATAAAAGGCCATAGTACAGGCGCCAGGCCCCAACAGCCACAGGTTCAAACCTTGACTAGGCCCACCACTAAGCAGCCAGCACATTATTTAACTTTTCCAAGTCTCAGTTTGCTCCTCCCCATAATGCTGGTATGTGCCTCCTGGGGCTGCTTGACCAGGGCAGTTTGAGAAAACAATAAATTATGAACATAAGGGAGGTAATTAGTGTAAGTACTTAGCATAACACCAGAAAAGTTAGTAATAACAATAGTAAATAGCTCCATAGCACTTCGTAAATGCTGAATAAATATTAATTTGTCTTATGTGATGTGTGCCCCATTTTAATCAATAGTCTCACTCTTAGTTATAACAATAATATATGTTCATTGTTGTAAGTTTAATAAATATCGAAAAAGTATGGCAGAGAAAACAGTCATGCCTGCATACCTAACTCCCAAAGGTAATAACAAGTAACATTTTGGTGTAGTTCATTTCTGTATTCTTTCTTATCTTAAAATACATTAATATTAACCAAATTAGTGTGGTGTGTCTATCTATAACTGTGCTATTCAATATAGTAGGCACATGTGGTTGTTTAAATTTAAATATAAATGGATGAAAATTAAATAACATTGAAAATTTAATCCCTCAGTTCTTGTTGCCACCTTTGAATTGTCCAATAGTGTGAACAAATGTGAACTTGAAAGAGCCAGTCCCTCAAGATGGATTCTGAGCAGCTAACTGGACCCAAATTTAAAATAGATTGCTTTGGCTATTCAGGCTCTTTTTAGGTCCCATACGAATTTTAGAATAGTTTTTTCTAATCCTGTGAAGAATGACATTGGTAGTTTGATAGGAATAGCACTGAATCTGTAAATTGCTTTGGGCAGTATGGCTATTTTTACAATATTGATTCTTCCAATCCATAAGCATAGAATATTTTTCCATTTATTTGTGTCATCTCTTATTTCTTTCAGCAGTGTTTTGTAGTTCTCCTTGTAGAGATTGTTCAACTTTCCTGGTTAGCTGTATTCCCGGGTATTTCATTTTCTTTGTGGATATTGTTTAAGTGGGATTGTGTTCTTGATTTCACTCTCAGCCTGAGATGTTGTTGGTATATAGAGATGCTACCGATTTTTGTACATTGGTTTTGTATCCAGCAACATGGATCGAGCTGAAAGCCAAATTCCTAAGGAAATTAATGCAGGAACAGAAAATCAAACACCACATGTTCTTCCTTATAAGCAGGAGCTAAGCATTGATCAGACATAGACATAAATATGGGAACAATAGACACTGTGGACTACTAGAGGGTGGAGGAAGGTGAGGTGGGTTAGAAAACTACCTATCAGCTTCTATGCTCACTACCAGGGTGACTGGATCCATACTCCAAACCTCTCAGCATCACATAATATTCCCATGTAACAAATCTGCACAAGTACCCCCTGCATATAAAATAAAAGTTGAAATTTTTCTGAAAAAAATAAGTTCAGGCAAAAAAAATCCTACCATACTAGGTACCTTAAATTTTTAAGATATGGTCCTGGTAAAACAAGGGTATTTATATTTTTTTGAATTTAGAAGCACAGTAAGCAAAAGATCTGCTAAGCAACCAAAAGTAGGAGAATGTGATGAGTTAGATTTCTCACTGTAATTGCTAAACAGCAGCAAATAGCTTCCTGATTGGTACAGGTGCTTCCAGGGCTATTTAATAGGACATTCCTTGTCATTCTTGTTGGTAGGTAATCTTCAACTGTGCTGCATTCAGGTCACCGTGCTGTTCACCTGATCTCTAGATTATGTGTACTGCAGAAACATTTTAGTGTTTTTCCTTGCAAGGATTCCAATCTAAACACAAATTACAAACTCTGCCTCTTCAGTAATCTGGTCCTGCTATGGATTTAATACCAAACTCTCAATTAAGGGTGATACAGTAGATGGCTACAGCCATTATGGCAAGGACCATGGTGTATCATTACACTACTTCCTCTTCCTGGGCACACAGGAACTCCTCCCTTTCCAACCCCTCTTGTAGTGGTCATGGGGGCCGTGTGACTATGTTCTGTTAATGAAATGCAGATGAAAGGAATATGAGTCACTTTAGGGTCAGTCTCTTAAAACATCTTGTGCAATTTTACACCTCTCTCTTTCCTTTCTGGAGTAATTGTTCTAGATAATGGAGCTCTCTGTGGAAGCAGCCAAGACCCCAAGTCGCTGGAGGAGAGCTGCAAAATAGCCAGACTAAGAAGCACCTGAGAAGCAAACTTTCGCTGTATTAAGTCATTGAAATTTCAATGTTTATTTGTTACCTTTTGTCCAAAATTGTATTATGTTTCATAAGTAAATAAAAACTAAAAGCTAAAAAATATAAATAAATAAATAAATTAATTAATTAATTAATAAATAAATAAAACAGAGCCCAGCAGCCATTTGCTGATTAGAGGTCACACAGGTACTCTGAGTTCCCTGAATATCCACCCTTCTGTTTAACATTGGGACTTTCAGAGCTCACCTGAACCAACCAATCAGAGCTTACCTGCCTCCTCAAATCAGAGCTCAGCTACATCAGCTAGTCAGAACTGCACCACATCAACCAATCTGAACTAAGCAAGTTTGAATCCTTCATTTGCATAAATGAACTTGATTGGGAACCTAGGTGGGAACTTTCTCTATAAAAGCCAAACCCTCTCTTTGTTCTCTAGAACACACCTTTGTTTTATACCCAGGTTGTGCCTTCTGGGTTTGCAGACTGTAATGGGAATAAAGTCTTTTTCCTTCGAATTCCTTTTCCAAAAACTTTTGTTAATGATAGGTCTGCATTGCTAGTGACTCCCACACTGAACAATGCAGATATTTCAATCATTGAAGAAAGTGTCATTGGACGGTGCTAGCTAGATACAGTCTTATAACTTCCTTTTCCTCACTTGGCACCATATCATGTAGTTTCACGTATCATCAGTGTCCAAAAACTGATTTTACTGTCTGACTTATATAGATGTTCTTGGTTTATTTATCTGGTCTTCTATGTTTGGATACTTAGATTGCTTTCAAATGGTCACTGTCATAAACGACACCCTAGTAGACGTCCATGGGCAGCAACTTTTGGGTATGTCTATATTGATTATCTCAGGATAAATATCTAGCTACAAGTAAAATTATGGGGCCAACAGGACATGCACTTTTTAGGGCTTTTGATATATATTTCCAATTGCACTCTGAAAAGATCATATTAATTTACCCTCCCAGTGTTATTTATTTTAGTGCTTGCCAACATGAGAAAATAAAACTATATTTCATTTTTGTTGTATTTCTGTCATTAGAGAGATTTACAACTCTGTTAGAGGTACCCAGATCAATTGTTTCTATTTATACAAATTATTTTATGAAATAACAAACTGTCACAGTGTATATGGGGAATATAGCTTCTACTCACCAAATAAAACATGGGAAGGCTGCCCAGAACCCATCTGTGCATTAAACCCATGCTGGGCTGAGCAGAGGTCCAGTAAGTATTTACTGGTCTTGGCTGAATCCGTGACAAACGTGTGCTTCTTCCCAGTGACACTGCTTGTGATGGTGAACTTTTTTTGCTGAAGGAAGCAAACACAGACTTTAATACACTGATCATCCACAACTCTCCACTGATGCACAACTGCAAGAAAATGCTCGGTCCCTCAGTTCCACATCCTGTAGCAGGCATCCACGGGTGCATGGCAGATGCTGTCTGACTATGGCCTGATATTCTTCTTGGCATAAAGAAAATCCCTCTTTTTAGTTTTTTCTTCATTTATCAATCAAATTGTTTATCAAACAATTACTATTTTCCAAGGAGCATGCTGGGTGAAGAGAACATGAAGTGGGTCAGGTACATTGACCTCAGCAAGGACGGAACCTAACCCTCAGTGTGCATTATGAAAAGCCACTAAGTACTCCCATTGCTTTTATTGTACAAACTCCAAGAAGTTGTAGACAAAATCTCAACTAGTCGGGTTATGAAAAAGATAAAAACACCTGTGTGTTATAATATTTCTGCCTATAACGTGGCAGATTCTGTTCTAAATGCTTTATGAGTATGAATTTATTTTGTCTTCACAACTACAGAATAAGAGATTCTATCACTTTTTTTATTCTGCAGATGAAAAATAAAAAAGCAAGAGTCCTCAAAATGCCACAGGAATTGAGGTCACACCACAAAGAAATGCTTCCCCACATTATACCTTCAAGGCCCACAAACAAAGTGATAGTATTTGTCCAGCTCACTGGGCTAAACTGGGGAAGATGACCTATATGAGCCTACCTGTTTAGAGCCTTATGAGAAAGATATAAATTTTTGCAATGTATTATTCTGATAAGAACAATAAAATATAAATATAGGTGGTATTAAATATTAATTCGTATAAAACTTCCAAATAAAATCTTCATTCTGGGTATTCTATCTATTTCAATAAGAACTTTCAGCTTGCTCCTATAAAGATAACTTTATAGAAACAGGGCTTATGCTTGAAAGGGCTCCCAGAAACCCCTGATCCTCTTTAAGGCTAATCTCTTTTAATTCCTGATAGTCACCATTTCCAAGAAATTCCATTCACGCATGTCAGATATCAACAAAAGGCAGATAAATATTCATTGCTTTTTCTCTGAGAAACTCCTTTTCACCATTAACTTAATTTTAGATAAGTTGCTCATTCTCTATATACTCTACTTTTACTGACAAGTATAGTGCTAAGCCTCCTTGTGCTAATAGGAATGGATTCTGAATCCAATTGAACTGTACTATAACTAGTATTTCTTTAAATAAGGTGTTGTCTCAAGCATTCATAAATGCTGCTCCATTACTCGTAATAATTCTTTAACAGATTTAATAACTCAACAGATCATTTTATCCACATTTTTTCAAAGTTGAATATTTGCTTGAAATCCAAACACTTTGTCAGTACACACTGATAGTCTTTCATGCAATCCTGATAGTTTTATATTAAGTTTATCCAGATATTAAGCATTTTTTATGTGAACAAGTCACTCTTCTTTTGAGACAGGGTCTCGCTCTGTCACCCAGTCTGGAATGCAGCGACACAATCATAACTCACTGATACCTTAAAGTGCTGGGTTCAAGCAATCCTCCCACCTCAGCCTCCCAAGTAGTTGGGATCACAGGCAGGCACCACCACATCCAGCTAATTTTTGTATTTTTTAAGTAGAGACAGGGGTATCACTATGTTGCCCAGGCTAGTCTCGAACTCCTAGGCTTAAGTGATCCTCCTCAGCCCCTCAAAGTGCTGGAATTACAGGGATGAGCCACTGTGCCTTGCAAGAATAAATCACTTTTTAAAATGTAATTACTATTTTTTAACAAATCTGAGAAGTGAGGATCATTCACACACACACATACAAATAAACACACACACCAAAGTTTCTTTCAACTTATAAACTCTCAGCAAAACTCTCCTTTCAGATGCCAGTGCTCCAAGGTATCAAACACCAGAGTGGAATGTTGATCCTATTTCTTGACATAAAGGTGAAAACAGTCTTGACTGTAGTGGTTTGGATTTTATTTCTATTTATCACCATTTTGATAACATCATATAATGGAAAATTCTTATCCGCAAACTTTCGCATAGGCAAGCTGCTGCTCTAATGATGTATACGATGATGTATAACTCCAATCTCTGAGTTTTCAGCACCAGCATGAAATCCCTTCTTTACACTTCTGTGGTTGCAGTATAAACATATTAGGTTGGTGCAAAAGTAATCGCGGTTTTCGCCGTTAAAAGTAATGGCGATTACTCTTGCACACACCTAATTCATAGCAGGTGCTTCTGTAACATGCTGGTTTCAGAGCATCAGTTTACCATTTTGAATGTTTTTCATCCCTAGGAGTTTTTTTTTTTTTTTTTCCTGTTGCTATTTGTTCACCTGCTTGATTATTTGTTTTGATACATCTTTGTATCAAATACAAATAATAGTTTTCTAGGCAGGGGAGATTTGCCATCAAGCTAATGAAACTGAAGCTCCAGGGCCCTCACCTCCTGGGAGGAGCCCTGGCAATGCATTCACATGGTCTTATAATACGCAGAAAGTAAGATGTTTTCACCCCGGTTGGTTAAGACCACTGACTCTTTCTACTCGGACACACCCTCCTTGCCACTTACCTTCGCACCAGGTGGTATTGGGTGATACGAACCAGATCTCTCTAAGAAGTTGAGATGGGGATACACTTTGTTTAGATTTAGTTGGATTTATTTAGGTGATTTGAAGGCTCTTCTAGAATTGCTTTATTGCTAGCCATCCCAGAATACTCCTTCCATTTGTCTAACTCACCTAAAATCTCAGCAGAAAGTTGCAGGGCCAGCAGCCAGATGAAATTGACCATGCTCTATAATACCCAGCCCCGGAAGGAAGCATGAGCTGTACAGAGCCAGTAGCTGATCTACAAGAAGTTTTTGCACTCATCAGAAATGAAAAACTATAATTTAGTTCTCAAAAATACTCATCCAATTGAAATGCTTCCCTATCAGGGATATACTCTATAATTGTGTATACTGCATTATCAATACATCATATGATTTTTTTATGGGAATCCCATGAAATAGAATTTGTTAGGTTTCACGCATTTGCAGCAAAAAACTCTATTGCAGCACTAGAAACAGCAAAAATGTTTCGTGCAAAGCTGCGTGTTTCATGCATCCTATTAATCATTTCAATAATAAAAACATTTCAATCCACCACGCTAGAAGAAAAGCTAAACTACACTTCTATCCTCTCTAGAGAAAATCATATAACAAAAGTTTCATCATACAGAAAAATAATCAGAGTATGCCATTAAAAATTTGAAAGGAAAAAAGTATTATAGACATTGTCAGGAAGTTAATAAAAATATTACTTGCTGGCTTTTGTGATATCTGCAGGATTTGTTCAGCTTTTAAAAATTCATAAAGTTTTTGTGATTTCTTTTCTCATTCTAAATAAACATTTCTTTCATGCCATCTATTGTAACTTTGTATTCTTTTTCATAAAGAGGGCCCTACATAGCATGTATCTGCTTCTGTTTCCATGCATTTCTCTTCAGAGATTTAACTAGTGTTGATAACCAAGAACAGTTACTAACATGCATAGGTTTATTGTTCTAGAAGGAACAGGTTTTTGATTGAACAATCAAACCACACATGGATGCCAACACATCAACAAATCATATTCTTTGGAAATGTCATCTTTCTCTATTTCCTTTGCTGCTTTGGTGCAGGCTGGCAAGATGAATGATCTGTAATTGTTTGAAGAATTTTGGCCTCAGGTATTAAAAAGCAAAACTGAGACCAGTTTCCTGAGTTAATTTTCATATTATTCACTGAATTCCCTATTTTGTTCTTACAGAAACATAAAGAGTTCAAGTCATTTTCTGCGTAAGATGCTTGGTTTGCAGCAAGCTGCCGATGACATTACTTCATCTGATGACTGTTTTGTAAAAACAAGTTATTCATGCCAAGGAAGAGGATGATCATCAGAGAATGGAAACCCTAATTAAGTATTTTTTGAGCTACTAAGTTTGTCTTCAGAGCCTGATGACTTCCCAGTTTTAATCAAGAAATTAATCAACTAATTTAATCAGGAAATCCCCTGGTAGGGGGGAAAATAAATACCTGTAAAAGTTAAACCAATGTATACATAAGGTACTTACTTACGGGGACTGTTGAGCTTTACAGCTTCAAAAAATTCCATTTTTAAAAATTACTTTTTAGGTTATCTGCATTTTTATGAATATTTTGAAGCATAGTGCATTGAAAAATCTGAACAATTAAACATGCAATAAAAAATAAGTAATGTAGTAGTATTAAATTCATTAAACAAAGTTCTTCATATAATCTTTCAGTTTAGTTAAAGTAATTTGAGTAACTAAAATTCTGAAAAATTCACAATATAAATTCATTTGAGTTTGGTCAAAATAATTTGGAAAAAAAAGTCAGTTTCCTGATAATATATGGACCACTTAAATAAACTCAATTAAATTGTGCTCAATTATTATTTATTTTTAGATGTAAGCTTTTTTCCTGAAAACAAACAACAATTTATTATGAAATTGTGTCTTGATAATGTGTTAACTTCAAAGCCAAGATGGAAGAAATAAAAGAAACATCCTGAAAATGAATGAAAGCAATTATGTTCTACTCAGGAAACTCTAACATCAAATAATAATATAAATAGTGATCTAGTCAGAAAATGTTTTTAACCATAGATAAAACTAAATAGGAAAGAAATATTTTTTCATGGGCCACAAGATAAAGAACTTCATATTTTATAACAAATCATCACTGAAGTGACACAGGTACTGACTGGAACAACCACAGGACAGGCAGAGGCTGTCAGCCACCAGGGTACAGTGTCAGAGTGACTTACTTCAGGAGGTAGAAATATGCATGCAAATAGTGTTCAAGTAGATTCCAAATGTTGTATACTTAATGGGGATTTTCTATCCAAAAACAGACTTTGAAACTTTTAAGAGCTATCAAAATTTTGCAAAACTCAGTGTCCCATAGCACACCTGTAGTCCTCAGAGACAGACCAGAGGCCTTGGCACATTGTGTGCAAAGGGAAAATTAAAACACAGGAAGAAGTTTCCAAACCTTTCAGGCTCCACTCAACCTAAACTACACTCTCAACATCCATTTCCCATCTCCAACTTTGCTCTCAACATTGATGGAGTCTCCAAATTAAGAAAACTACCCAGAAGGGAAGTGTGGCCCTTTAGACCAATGGCTGTTCTTGGGGATATGTGGGGGTCCAGGCAAGGAATAGTAGGGAAGAAATGGCCTCCTGAGGACCTCCCAAAATCCCTTGGCAGACTTCTTCCAAATATCCTTCAATGCATCAGAATGCAGGTTAACAAACAGACAGGTTGTGAGAATGTTTGGTCAGGAGAAAGCCACGTGACCCACGACCCATTGCTCCTCTAAATGGCCAACAAATTAGAGGAAAATGAAGTGCAGGTTATTTATCAACTGAGCTGCACTCACATAAGTAGAAATCTTTCCAGTTTCTCTCCACTGAAACCGTAAAGTTGCAATTCTGCTGTTGTTTTTCACTTCATATACTACGACACCTTTGGCACAGATCCCCAGGGCCATCTGCTCTTCTGGCCTCCTCTTCTCTGCGAATACTTGGTGAACCAGCACACCGTATTCTGGGAGCTGCTGAGTGACCTGGAGCAGAAAAAGGCTGATTTAGAAAAGACAGGCACATGGTTTAAAATAATGGGCCTCACGTCATTCACTCCATGCAAAACATATTGACAGGCGTTCTGAAAAGAAAGAGTAGGATTGTCACATAAGTTTAGGAAACACTGGATCAAGCAGATTTATTTGCTACATACAGAATTTCTCTGCACCTCTGATATGATGGAATTTTCCTTTTTTTTTTTTTTTTTTTTTTGTAACCCAAGGAATACTTTTCTTATGGAATACCTAAAACAGTACTTAGAACACAGTTATTATGAAAATAACACAGTAGACAAATAATATTCTGAATAAGTTTTTTAGAATTCATACTCTTCTGGGACATCTCATGGTAAGAGATTTCTTTTCCTGGTTGTGTCAGAGTCTATAGTATTTTCTGTTCCAACCCCCTCACATGACAGATAGAAAAACTGAGGCTGAGGCATAGAAAGCAACCTTCCAGATCACCAGTATTAGTTGTGAACTGCAGAGAAAATGACAATTCACTTTGGCACTCCTCACCATGCAGCAATGCCTTCGTGGGGGTGTCCATAGCCCAAGGTCTTGCTTCTGTTTACCAGGTTAGGGGAACAAATTTTGCCAGGGGCCATGGGCCAACTGGAGCTGGGGACCAACTGGAGCTGCATTAGGCCACCAACTTCTTAAGAGACCAGAGTATAAAATGAACACAAATGTTTCTACACCTGAATGGCAGTCACTTTCCCACCCTGGGCTTTCCCAACTTCATCTTCACCAGGAATACGCCAGTCCCCATCAGAAAGTTGATGTGTCTCTGGGACCCACAGCCAGGACCTCTTGCTCCATGCATTTGAAGCCCTCTCAGAAGGGTTGTATTGCTGAGATCTGGTATCCCATTCCTACCCCCAACCAGAGAGCATCATGTCCTATCCAATCTCTCTCACCCCCAGGCAAGGTCACAAAAACAGGGACAAATTATGGCTTTTGAGGGCTCCTTTCTCAGGCTCCTTGCCCATTCACCGTTGATGAAGTCCGTGCAGACAGCTTATGCTGCCTGCAGACTCCACAGCTCTTCACACAGGGTTCAGATTACATTTCTGAACGCTAAGCCTCCTTCGTTTAACTTTGGAGAGACCTTGTCATCATCATCATCATCATTATCATCGTCATCATAATCAATCAGTATCCTCATCATCATACAAATCAATATTTATTGAGCGCTGGTGCTGAAATATCCAGTGGCCAGACTGGGCATGTGATTAAAGTTAAACAAAGCAGGACCACCCCAAGATAACTAGGTAGATGTTTTTAAAGAATTCGGTGTGATATTTCTTTTAAAAAGTAAGCATTAATAAGTAGTCCTCATTAGGATAAAGATGCCTTTGCTAGACTTACACTTCTTCAATTGTTTAGTATTAGTTTATATTCTAATTTATTGTTTAACTATACAAAGAGAGATATGATACATTTCAGTTCTTTGGGCCTCAAGATTCCTACTGGTAAAGCACCATGCTAAGCCTCTCCCAGCATAATTTCATTATTATTTAATCTTCAGAACAATCACAGAGATGATGAAGCTATCCCTTTTCTAAGTAATCTGTCCAAGTTCCTGCTTTGGAGCCAGGAATAGAAATATGGAAAGATGAGCCTGTTTGCTCCTGAGTCTTCACTCTTAACAACTGAAATACAGGGAATCCAAAAGGCCTGGAAACACAGATGAATATACTTAATGTTGTCAATGGCATCTTCATCTGTAAAACAATAAAATAATGAAGTCTACCTCCATTCCCTGTCTGCTAGGGAGTCTCCTAGGATGCTTCTCCTGGCCCCGTTTGGATTGCTATTGCTGGGTGTCCTTTCAAAGGGTCATTTCCTCTCCATGTGCTTTGGGCCATCTTACTACAAGGCCTGTCCTCCTCACAACAGGCAGCAAAGTTGAGATGGGACCAAGCACTCCTGGCTGCCAGCCACACAGCACCCTTGCTGTATTGAACGTTCTTCAAAACAAATGGATTGTTATTTCTGGATATTCATCAAGGGGTTCAGAATTTATCTTCTCTGACCTTATAATTCCACCTGTGGGTATCTACCCTAAGAAAATACGCTGCATAATCAGGACAACCCCTTCTCATAATGCTGTTCAGTACAGATTTGTGGGTTGATTTGGGGAAACCAGCTCCTGGCAATAAACGGTTTCCCAAAAACAGTACTGCCTTAAAATTGATTATCAGGCAGCCTTTGCAAAGGATATTTATAAAGCATTTGTAATTATCAGGAGAGTGCATTTGTTGTAGTGCTTAGTGGGAGAAACTATAGGATACAACCAGTATGATTTCAATAGCAAGAAAAAAAATTTTAATAATCTATTACAACCCACAGCTATGTAGGAAAATGGCTCCATGGTTGAGGAAGTTAGGAAAACACCGAATTCACCTTAAACAGGTTATTCTGAGATTAATAAGCTAACATAGTTGTGAATCTACAGACAGACTATGGTATTCAGTGCTCCCCAAAATGGACTTTTGCCCAGTCTGTTGTTAGTACAAGATGCTGAACTGTCAGAGTTAGTCACTAGTGAACCGGGGGCCAAGAGACAGCCTCCCAATAACGGTTTTCTCCTTTTCCTAATGAAAAACAAGAGCCATGAGGAGCTATAATTAAATAATCCAGTGATTGCTTGTAGAGTAGTAACTGAGCTCTGTGATGGGCTCTGAGGATCCAGGACCCTCCAGACATTTATAGCCCAGTAGAAGGGATGGAAAGTGTCCAGAAATGACTGCAGTGCAAGGTGTCTTAGCAATATGTATCAACAATGTTCAAAATGTTTATTACCTTCCACCCAGTAATTCCACTCATGATATTCCATCCCTAAGGAATGAAGCAGAAATACAGCTAAGATTTATATGTAAAAGATGCTAATCTCAGTATCGTTTTAAATAGTCCCATATTGGAAACTATTTATACGTTAAACAATAGAGCATTGAGAGAAAAAAGTAGGGTACAACATACATTAATTCAAAAGAAGTTTTCAAATGTTTAGATTTATGGGATTATATGCATACATAAAAGTGCATATATAATATAAAGCTAATTTTAAATATATACGCATATACACATATACAGGAATGCACAGAACAAACAGAGAATGATGAATATACCAAAATATAACTGTGCTATCTCCAGGCAGCAGAATTATGAGGAGATGTTTACTTTTATAATCAGGGATGGGGAGAAAACCTTTAACAAACTCTCACCCTAATGAGAGGCTCCCAGTGTGCTCTGGGGGTGATGACAGAGCCCTGTCTAGTTTCTCTCTCTGTACCACAGGCAGGTAACATCAGTGCTAACAACCCCAACCAGTCTACCAAGGGGAACTGCAAAAGCAAGAGTGCTCCTTGAAACCGATAAAGATTACATGTAAACGAAATAAAATCTATTCAGTGCTTTCTGTGAATGGGGGAAAAATTGATTTCCTGTATTTTTGCTTCTGAGCCTGGTAGTTTCTTTTACGATCATTTTTCATCATTCAACCAGGAAGCGAGGGACCCTGACAGTGAACTCAGCACTCAAAGCCAGGGTCTGGGCAGAGGCCAGAAGGTAACGTCCATCCTGCAGGCATCTGTTGCAGGGTTGGGTCCTTGGCCTCTAGACTGGATTCTGCAGTTCTGTGGCTCTGTGACCACTCATCATCAGGTGGCTTTGAAGTCTCCACTGGTCCTTCATCAGGGGAATGCTTCGTCCCCTTGACAGGGAACACATGTGCAGCCCGGACTATAGAGTGCCCTGATCATGCTTTGCCAGTGCTTCTCAAACGAAACGCTTGCAGGCTACACTATGTTAGATACAGGGATAGTTCTGCAAAATGACCGGCTGAAAAGCAAAGGCCCAACCTCATGTTGGCTGTTCTGTTTTCAAGTACCCACCTCAATTAAGGGCTAGAAAACACAGACGGAATATTTCTACCTGACTTCTGTACAGAGAAATATACAGGTCTCCCAGCTTCCTTTTAAAACTGCTCCCCCAGTCAAATGTCCCAGCCTGTATCCTGTCCTGCGGAAGCTGCGAGTGTCCTCTCACTTGCCCCCCAGCTGTATCTGCATAGGCACAGTAGCCACTCCCTCCCTGGTCCCCACATCTTGACATAGAGTAGCTGGTATTGTTCTTGTTCCATTGAGCGTTTATTGAGTTGTGTGCCTGTGGGTAGACCACAATCCTCCCCACAAGACGTGGGGCTTCCTGGGAACAAAGAGCATGTGCTTTTTGTCTCCATTTTCCAGTGCCTGGCCCACAGCAAGGGGAGGTTGTGGAGTAGCAAAGACTATTCATCATTGTGTGTGCCCACACGGGGGTACTGCAGTGACACTGTTTCTGCCCCGCTGGTGAAGAGACAGCGGGCTCAAGCTGTACCCCTGTGCACAGGCCACAGCAGCTGTGCTGTGCTGAGGACTGCTGCCTGGAGGGCTGCAAACTTGGGGTTTTGCAATGGCTTTTCTCTGGCTCAAGCTCTGATCTTGTTCTTCTGCTGTCCCATGTGTCAACTATAAGAAACGTGGTCTCCCTGCTTGGAGGAAAGTGTCTGGAATGCTGATCTAAGATTTGGCCGGGCACAGTGGCTCACGCCTGTAGTCCCAGCACTCTGGGAGGCCAAGGCAGGCGGATTACCTGAGATCAGGAGTTTGAGACCAGCCTGGCCAACATGGGGAAACCCTGTCTCTACTAAAATACAAAAATTAGTGGGGCATGGTGGCAGGCACCTGTAATCCCAGAGCGAGACCCCGTCTCAAAAAAATAAATAAATAAATAAGGAAAAGCCCTACCACACTCACCCCAGCTCACTAAATCCTACACTCTTTGTGGTCATTTCCAATGTCAGCTGCTTCCAGAAGCCTCTCCTTGCCCCTCCCTCCCTCTTAGAGCTCCACCCTTGCTCGTGCCTCCTTGTGGGTCTGCACACACCTGAGCCCCTTGAGAAGGCTCCAGAGGGGATTGTTGACTGCATTCCCTTGAAGACCAACACCTCCCTCCAGGTCAGGAAGGCCTTACCCTCAAGAACTCCAGCTCAGCATCCTCTCCCCAGAGTGCAGAGCTGAGCCGGTGCATCTCTGAGATTTCGACTTGGACCCGTAGAGCAGTCATCCTCTCGATCAGACTTGCTGGGATGTAATCTTCAATGTGAAAGTATGGCTTACTCTCCACCTGCTGGAAGTAAGATGCAGAGGGGGAGGGCATGATCAAGACACTGTCCTGGGGACTCTGAGCAGAATGAAAACATGATCTGTAGTCACAATTCCAGGAGAGCTCCAGAGAAAGACACTTCCTCGAGGTGCCCACCTGGGATATTATTTTCCACTATATTAGAAACAGGGCTAAACCCTAGGACATGAACAGAAAAGAGAGAGTAAAGGAGCTGTTTTTGAACCCCTTTTTATGCCAGGTAGTTCACAGAACACATAAGTCTCTTCTGATTCTCACAGGAATACTCTGAAGACGGCATTGTCATTGCCATTGCCAAGATGAGCAAGAGAGAGGTCACTCAACAGGGCAAAGCTCACACCACTTGAAAGTGACAGAAACAAGATTTGTTCACCCCAAACCCTCACACTTTCTATCATGTGTGTTTTACCAAAAGGCACAGCAAAACCTTGGCCCCAAAACTCCATGTTTTTTTTTAATTCATTTAGCATTTTTGTCTACATGCACTCCCAGAACATTGTCTCTTCACACCAGAAAGGTCTTAGCTTTGGCATCATTGCTGCACAAGAAGGTGTTCAAGGAGTAGCCCCCTGAAAAAGGGGAGACTGGATACCCCCAACCCACCTTCATCACGTCTGTTCTTTGGGAGACTGAGGCTGCATCCCCGCTAGGAGAGGATGGCTGGTCGAATCACTCACTGCTTGATGGTGAGTTCCCTGAACACAGATTCTGGGGCAGGCAGAAGTCTGCAGAAGTCCATGCAGGAGTGATATTGAGGTCCAATATACAGAATGAGGAATGCAGGACCAGCCAGAGGGAGAACCTGACCTTACCTTTGTATTCCCAATTCAACATGTCCTGGTCTCAGGATGCCCTTGCCAGCCTAACCCTGGGCAAGCCATTTCCCTCCAGTTGAGAGCAGTTACTCATGAGGAAGGCAGCTAGGATCTGGGAGAATCTGGCCTCGTTGGGGTTGGGGGTGAACGAGTTGGCCTGAGGGGGGATCTGAAGGGAAGAGCACAGTGTCCGCCACCTCCCACTCTCCTGACGTAGCATGTCCCCATGTGGTCATGGACCAAGAATCCTCAGGCTGGTGCTGGCTCGTGCTGGTTTTGAGCTCAGCTCCACCACAAATGGAGAGACATTGTTCAGCAGGCTAGTGCGTAAAAAAGCATTTAGAATGCTATTAGAGTGGCCAAATTCCAGAACACTGGCAACACCGTGCTGGTGAGGATGTGGAACAACAGGAACTCTCAATCATTGTTGGTGGGATTGCAAAATGGCACAGCCATTTTAGAAGACAGTTTGGTGGTTTTTCATAGAACTAAACATATGCTTACCATACAAACGAGCAATTGAGCAATTGTGCTCCTTGGTAATTACCAAAAGGAGTTGAAAACTTATGTCCACACAAAACCTGCACACAGATGTTTATAGCAGCCTTACTCATAATTGCCAAAACTTAGAAGCAAATGATGTCCCTCAGTGGGTGAATGGATAAATAAACTGTTGCATCCAGACAATGCAATATTGTTCAGTGCTAAAAACAAATGAGCTGTCAAGCCATGAAAAGACATGGAAGAGTCTAAAATGCATATTACTAGGTGAAAGAAGTAGGTGTGTAAAGGCTACATACTGTATGATCCTAGATATATGATATTCTGGAAAAAGCAAAACTATGGAAGTGTAAAAAGATCAGGGGTTTGGAGGCAGGGAGAAATAAGTAAGTGGAGCATAGAGGATTTTTAGGGCCACGAAACTACTCTGTAAGATACTTGAAAACTGGTTATACAAATTGAGTAATTCTTGTCATATCCAACTAAATCAGAGTCCAGGAACCAGGAAGAAAATGAACTCGCGGCACATAGCACCTGCTCCAAGAATTAAATTTTTCCATCAGCCCAACTACTGAAAGGACTTGCTGTAACCCTAAGACTAATTTTACCTAGTAGCTGCTGAAAAGACCTGCTGGGACTCTAAGACTTGTTTCACCTCCCACTGTCACTCACCAATCAGTTTTCAGTTCCCAAAAGCTTCTCAAGTGCTGATGAGTCTTCTTTCAAAACTACAACATTTTTACTCCTAATAAAAATCCCAACCTTCTCTTCGTTCTTGAGACACACCAAAGACCACCCAGTATGTGAGTATACCCCAAACTGCAATTCTTGCTTCCCAAATAAATTGTTTTAAATTTAGAGATTCTTCTCCATATTTTATTTGACTTCAACAATAGCGTAAAGGTGGATACATGTCTTTATACATTTGTCAAAACTCAGAATGTACAACATCAAGAGTGAACCTCAGTGTAAATTATGAGCTCTCAGTGGTAATGGTGTGTCAATGTAGGTTCATTAATTGTAACAAATGTACCTTCTGGTGCAGGATTTTTATGTCGTCTGTAGAAGGCCGTGCATGTCGAGGGGCAGGGATATATGAAAACTCCCTGTATTTTCAAATCAAATTTACTGTGAATCTAAAACTGTTCCAAACATTAAAGTCTATGAAAACATTTATTTTAAAAAAGCATTTAGGATCTATGACCCCGGATCCTTTTGGTAGGAATATATCCAAGAGAAAAGTCCATAAGGGACTGAAAAAACTCTGGGGTCAAGTACACTTGTTTTTATGGCATTTATAAAACAGAAAAATCAGATGCAATTTAAATGATAATAATAGTAGTTATCACTCACATGGTGCTACTGGGTGAATACCCCACAACACAAGAATGAGGAAGTGAAGGAAGACTGGGAAGGCATAGCAGGCTGCCACTCCAGAGAATCACTAGGAAGGCCACTGGAGGACATGTACCATTGAGTGAGAAAGAAGAATGCAAATCGAATGTGGTGAAGTTCACAACTGTGTAAAAACCCCCGCATGTGATCAAGGCAGGGAGAGAATGCACCCAGAGGAAAGTTATTCTGCTGTGATGATGTGATTAAGGAGATTTATTTTTATACTAAATTGTCTTTGTCTCCCTTTTTAAAATGCAAATGTAATCATGTTGCTTCCCTGCTTAAAATTCTTCGGGGGCTCCCGATCTTTCACAACAGTGGTTTCCAAGTTATTTTTTTCAGCACCAGAACCATTTATCAAAGAAAATATAAGCCCCTTAGGTGGCCACACTGTCTTCCCAGATACAACAGGTGGCCGCCACCCAGCTTCACAGCCACCGAGGCTCAGGCAGCGGACAGGCCAGACTTCTCCTCTTGTCCATTCAATGACACAGAGAGGGACTCTCCTGTCTGAGGCCTCACTCAATGCTGCAAGTGTCCATTGCAGCACCTGGCATATAGCAAAGCAATGTGAAGTGAGCCCTGGTCGCGCTCTTTCTAGCTTACCTAACCTCACAGAATCACAACTTTCTCAATGGCAAATGGAAATAGCACCAGCTTTTCAGGGTTGATGTAAGAATTCAATGGTGCCAAGAGCAGGCCTTCCATAAATCAAGACTGAGTAAGTGGTTGTATAAATGAATGGGTTTGCGTAAACTTGTTGGCCTTTACAAACATGAGACAGGAAAAAGGTCTGCCTTCAGGGGCCACATGGGGGCAGCAGAGAGCACCTCAGAAATGTCCTCAGGGCAGTAGACAGGTTAAGGCTTGGCAGGATTTGGGGATGGGGAAGCAGAAGGAGGAGAATGAGATGACACTGAGCCAGAAGCAGGGTAAGATCAGTCAGAAACTGGATGGGCACAGGAAAGCACCATAATGGAGTGTCGGTGCTGGTCCATTTTATGTGTCAACTTGACTGGGCCATGGGGTGCCCAGATATTTGGTAAAATATTCTGGGTGTGACTGTGAGGGTGTTTTTGGACTTGACTGACACTTAAATCCATAGACTGAATAAAGCAGACGGACCTCCCTAATGTGAGTGGACCTCATCCAATCTGTTGAAGGACTGAATTAAACAAAAAGACTGACCCTCCTGTGGAGAAGCAGCTCCTCTCTGCCTGACTCTCTTCATGCCAGGATGCAGTTCTTCTCTTGCCTTTGGACTCAGGCTTGGACTGGAACTGCACCATTGGCCCTCCCCGGTTTCCGGCTTGCTAACTGCACAACTTGAGGCTTCTCAGCCTACATAACCACATGAGCCAATGCCTTCTAATACATCTCTAGATAGATAGATAGAAAGACATATAGATGATAGATAGATAATAGATACATAGACAGATACATAGGCAGAAGATAGATAAATAGATGATAGATAGATAGATAGATAGATAGATAGATAGATAGATAGATACATACATACATACATACATACATACATACATACATAGATAACTATCCATTAGTTGTGTTTCTCTAGAGAACCTAGACTATTATAGGCTCATAGAGACAGGTCTGAGCCCCTGGAGCCCTGGGGCAAAAGACTGCTGTACTAACTCCAGGTCTGAGTAAGAGACTATTACTCAAACTCCCACCTACCTCCAGTGGATCTGACCTGTGGTCCCCAACAACTCTAAGTGCTAGAGTTAAACTCAGGTTTGACATCCTGTATCTGAATCTACAGACTGAAGTTTAGCTGTTGTGTTATTTTATATTAGAGCACTATAATGCTGGAGGAAGGAAAAGGAAAGCTTGTTAGCATAGGTACCACACATGCATTGCCACCTTTCACCTTTACAGCAGATTTGCAAGAGATTGATGATTATTTTCCATTTTGCAGATGAAAAAAGCCAAGGCTCAGAGAGAAAATATGCCAAGGCCATATAGTTACTGAACCAGAGGCCACAGCAAGAATGTCAACTGATTCACTGGGACACTCCTGGCTTAGAGCACCCTCCTCCCAGGACTCCCCAGTGTAGCACCACAAGGGCAAGAAGAAGGTGGCCTAGGCATGAAAAAGGCCCCAGGCCTGGGTACTGAAGGCAGGAAAGAGTTCAAGGGTAAGCAGTGACAGGGCTTGTCAAAAGGACAGGGAGGAGGTTAAGGGGTCCAGGCCAGCTCTGAGACATTGCCTTCCTGGGGCAGTGTCAGGGGCAGAAAGTGAAGTTCCAGTCCCCA